CACACACATCTGATTAGCAAACAAAATGGGGTTAGTCTAGATCAGGGGTCGGCAACCTTTCCAGAAGTGGTGTGCCGAGTCTTCATTTATTCACTCTGATTTAAGGTTTCGCGTGCCAGTAATACATTGTAATGTTTTTAGAAGGTCTCTTTCTATAAGTCTATAATACTTACTTATATAACTAAACTATTGTTGTATGTAAAGTAAATAAGGTTTTTTAAAATGTTTAAGAAGCTTCATTTAAAATTAAATTAAAATGCAGAGCCCCCCGGACTGGTGGCCAGGACCTGGGCAGTGTGAGTGCCACTGAAAATCAGCTTGCGTGCCGCAGGTTGCCTACCCCTGGTCTAGATAATACCTAGTCCTGCCATGAGTGCAGGGGACTGGACTAGATGACCTCTCGAGGTCCCTTCCATTCCTATGATTCTATGAAAAAAAAATGCATGTGTTAACAGTTAAGGTTGTGGCAGGACACAATCCATCCACGCAAAACCTTGAAAGCATGGAAAAAGAAGTAAAGGGGAAAGACTCATGCATTCCCTTCCACCTTCATATTGCCTGGGATGGTTTTGGTATTCACTGCCCAAGACATTCATTTCCATCTCCAGCAAATACCAAAAAGCTGTGCATACGCTGGCTTCCTCAAACTTGCACTCTAATGCAAAACCTTACCAGTGACGTCCTATTCTCTTATATCCAGCACATCTGATGCTCTTTAACATTTTTATCAATGGCCTGGAAGAAAACACAAAATTGTCACTGATAAAGTTTGCAGATGACCCAAGAATTGGGGGCGTGGTAAATAATGAAAAGGACAAGTCACTGTTGCAGAGCAATCTGACTCGCTTGGTAAACTGGGCACAAGCAAACAGTACAGCTAAATGTAAATCTAGACATGGAGGAACACAGAATGCAGGCCATACTTAAAGGATGGGGGACTCCATCCTGGGAAACAGTGACTCTGAAAAAGATTTGGGAGTCATGGTGGATAATTAGCTAAACATGAGCTCCCAGTGTGATACTGTGACCAAAAGAGCTAATACAATCCTGGGGTGCATAAACAGGGGAAACTCGAGTAGGAGCAGCGAGGTTATTTTCCCTCTATATAGGGCACTGATGCAACCACCACTGGAATATTGTGTCCAGTTCTGGTGTCCACAATTCAAGGATGTTGATAAGTTGGGGAGGGGTCAGAAAAGAGCCACAAGAATGATTAAATGATTAGAAAACTTGCCTTATAATGATAGACTCAAAGAGCTCAATCTATTTAGCTTAGCAAAGAGAAGGTTAAGGGGTAACTTGATTACAGTCTATATATGTATAATCTTCATGGAAAACAAATATTTAACAATGGGCTCTTCACTCTAGCAGAAAAACGTCTAACATGATCCAATGGCTGGAAGTGGAAGCTAGACAAATTCAGATCAGAAATAAGGCGTACATTTTTAACTGAGAGTAATTAACCACTGGAACAATTTACCAGGGGTTGTGGTGGATTCTCATTAATGACAATTTTTAAATCAAGATGGATGTTTTTCTAAAAGCTCTGCTCTAGGGGTTATTCTGGGGCAGGTCTCTGGCCTGTGTTATACAGGAGGTCAGACTAGATGATCATAGTACTACTTTCTGGCCTTGGAATCTATAAATCTGACCCACACATTTCCCAACATTTGGGAAGTCATTTTGCCGTAACATTGCTGAGGTCCTGCAGTTACTAGTTTGCAAGAAATGCAACTTCCCTATTCCACATATCTGCTTCCTGTGCATACAAGTCACTTCTGCTGGCTTTGCTGACACACACAAGATTTTGTGGAGTTATTACAACCGGAGGGGGGAGAACTGGATTCTCTTCTGCCTCGTGCATTATCCACTGAATTTTTTCAGCCACATTCTGATGGACAGAATCTCTGTTACTAGCGTCGATGGGGGAAAGAACAACCTAGATGGATTTGCAGAATCCTTGCGACATTAGACAAACCATCCTTTGGCTTGTACCCTGACCGAATTTGATCTGGCGGCTAGCAAGAGAGGATCAGTATAGAACCCCACAATGCTATTTTTACAGCTCCGTCCTGCCCCTGTTTAAGTCCATAGGAATTCCTCAGTGGCGTGTTGTTACCTAGTGTGTAGGGATGGTTAAAAATCCACATGTTCCTGTGTTGGAGTCTGAGCTAGGCTGCTTTCAATCCTATCCTTTGCCTTTTTTTTTTTCTCTTACATCAAATTAAAGCACAGACCTGTGAGCCAGGAGATCTGGGTTTTCTTCCCATCTCTACCTCCATTTTCCCTGCGTGGATCCCTTCACTTCTGTGCTGTGGTTTTCCCATCTGTATGCAGGCGGTGCACATGCTTACCTCTCCAGGTCAGGGTGAAGATCAATGAGTTAATGCTTTGGGCACTGGAGAAATGCCAGGTACTGTTATTTACTGGCTGTACTCCTGTTGGTACAGGAGCAATGGGCTCGAGGTGGGGAAGGGGCCTCATCAAGGAAATCCTGCTCTTATATCCCCCCTGCGCAGTGGAGAACCTCAGACGCAAAACTCCCTCTTGGAGGAGCCCTGTGTGTGCTGCCGTCCAGCAAAAAGGAAGCCATGTCACATTACAGTGTCCACACTCTGCTGTCTTTGTTCCAGGCTACAACAGGCAAGCTTGGCTTTCAGCGCATGCAATCAGATGGATGCAATCAGAACTACTCCTGGCTCTGTAGTTCTCAAACATTTTAGTATGGCGGCCCTCCCAACTGCATTTTGTCTTTGGTTGCAGCGCCATTCAGGTTTGGCCTGCGACGGAGGGGTGGCCGGGCCAAACCTGAGTAGATTGCAACATCCGGAGCAGGGCACTAGGCCCAGGGCTGCTGGTTGAGGCGGGCTTGCTCTCCAACACCCACTCCTGTGGGCTTCCCATCCGCACCGGGCCAGGAGAAGTGTTTGTTTACCTAGGCCGGGTGCCAGTGATAAATTAATCCAGCCCTGGATGTGGTGACCCATCTGGAACCTTCCCATGACCTACTGGTGGGCGACCCACGCTTTGGAAAACTCTCTCTCAGTCCCTTATTGCTGAGCGCTTAAAGAGATTCCCTTTGAGCTGAGCTGGTGAGGGATCTGTGGGTCATGGACACAGGGATGTGGATCTACTTTCTATCCCCTGCTGTCACTGTGGCACAGTGACAACCTTGAAGTTCTGGGTAGCTGTGGCTTTGTTATGATAGTGTTGTCGACCTTAAACTGGAATTAATTCAGGGAAGTCCTCTGGCTTGTGTTATGCAGGCGGTCAGATTAGATGATCACGGCAGTCCCTTCTAGCCATGCAATCTATGTGCGATGGAGCTGGAAGAGAGGGTCTCGCAGAGCTGGGTCGCAACCTTTGTGGTTTAGTCTGATTGAAATGGGTGTAGAGACTTGCTGTGGTGAACAGAAGCTTTTACACTTGCTCAGTAATGCATCCAGAGTGCTTCAGGATTGCAGCCTGGATACCAGAATCGCGCCCTTTCCAGGGTGCTGAGTGGAACTTAGATAAATTAATGGAAGCAGAGTGTGTGTGGACTGTTTAGGAAAAGAATTTACCTTGGGAAATATTCCTTAGGGCTCTCCACTGTCAGAATTTACCAGTGGGTGCTCTTAGTTTAGAGCTGCAGTAATGAAAGCAAATTCCCTGATAAGAAAATCCAAACATTACAATCAAACGTTGGTGCATCGAGGGTTAACACTAAGATATGCAAACCATTTCGTTCCAAAGAATGTTGGTTTTTAATCAGCCTATTAGACCCACTACAAAGGGACTTTTAAAGTTTTTCATGAAGCTTAGTGGTCACCGTTAACTCCTGCTTTTGCTTATTCCAAGCTGTATCGGAGGAGTGGTTTTATTATTGTTTTTTTTTTTTCCGTTTGGATTTAAAAGATTAGAATGGGGGGAGCTTGCCGCCCAGCTCACATGCTTCTCCTCATGCTGGCATATAGATTATAATAACATCCTGCCTGGGTTCGTATTGAACCCTTTTATGCTAATAATGAAAGGGCTGCAGGGGACAAGAGACCCAAGGATCAATCTATGAAATGAGGCCACCGCCTACAATTATTTGCTCCCTTTCCAAAGAAGAGATCTGAGGGAATGAACTACAAAATGGAAGCTCAAGCTACTTATTACGATGAATCCTCCTTCCTTATTACACGTGGGGAGCCAGCGGGGGCTGCTGGAAGGGAAAGAGGCTCCAAGACATGCTCTTTCGTCATACTTGAGTGTGGGTTTTTTGTGGGTCCAATTTGGAAGGTGGTATGTTTTGTTATGTGTTTATTTAGGCCCTTATTCAGGACAGCACTTAAGCATGTGCTGAACTTGCTTCAATGCGCTCAAGTCCAATTTGAAGCATCTCAGATTTAAGCACTTAAAGTTTAGCGCATGCTTATGGGCTGTTCCCAGCGAGGATGGACTTCAATGTTGCCCACTCTGACCATTTTATCATGAGTGTGTTTCTCGAAGCCCCAGCTCCTGGAGTCATGGGGATGCGTGAGAATCTCCGCTTTCAGTGAGAGTCGGCACCACTGAAGGTATGTCTCCACTGCAGTCCAGTGGTGTTTTGGGCACATGGAGATCAAAGCTCGCTGGGGCATGCCTACCTGAGCTGCAATCAATCAATCCTGATTGCAGTGGAGACATACCTTGTCATGGTGCTGCATGGGATGTGAAACTTGCCAAGGAGGATTAAGTTACAGAAAACTAAGGCCACTTTACTCCTGATTGAGAAGCATCCACACCGAGGTGGGTTTAAAATGCTTTAACTCATGTGCATTGACTTCACACTTTTGATTTGCCTTAACTTAGTAACTCGTACCCAAGTGCTACTATATGCTTAGAGGAAAGGAGAAACTCCAATTTCACAGCAGGAGCTCAGCAATTTTTAGCATCCTAAATGTCAAGCAGAAATAGGTTGTCATGGTGTTATTAAAAAAAAAAACGTAAAGGAAGATCTGACCCATCATTGAACTTTCTTTTTCCCCCAACAGCTAAAAAATAAATTCATAAAGAAGATCCCCAAAGACGCGGAAGCCTCCAATGTCCTGGTGGGAGAGGTGGACTTCCTGGAGAAGCCATTCGTGGCATTCGTGAGGCTTATACAGTCCACCATGCTGGGCGGGGTGACGGAAGTTCCCGTCCCCACTAGGTGCGCAGCTGTTTAAACAAACAAAATGTGCTTTTGCAAGAACTGAAGAAAGGTATTGGTGGTTCAGAACTGGGGCTTCAGCTGTAAACTCTCATGTAAACCTGATGCGGTATAGCACACCTTACCTTCCAGATTAGGTGGGACAATAGTTTCTTCCCCTGTCTCTGGACGGCTACAGATTCCTAAGGAGTCTAATTAGAGCTGTGTGAATAACAGACTTTTGGATTCGCTGGCCATTTTGAAAAATCAAAGTTAAAAAAAATCATTGCGGGTCAACCCAAAATGAACCATGTTTAAAAAGATTTTGGCAAACCAGAAAGTAAAAAGTAAAATAAAATAGTTTTGGGCCAAACATAATGTTTCATTTGACCTGAAACAAAACATTTTATTTTGATTGCTAGTGTTTTTCAAACCATTTCAACGTTTGAAATAAAATTGGAGGAAATTTCAAAGCAAACAGTCATTTCAAATGGAGAGAAGAATTTTCAGTATTTTGGTGGGTTGTTTACAAATTTTGGAGGGACGGGGGTCCCCCAAACAAACAATTCAACAAAACTGACATGAATTTGCAAAATGTTTCAGTGTCGCCAAATCTGAATTTTTTTCGACAAAGAAAAGTTTCAGCCAAAAAACTTTGCCCACCTCTAGCAGTATAGCATGTTACCTTCCATGTTAGCTGGGACAACATTTTCTTCCCTTGTCTCAGAAGGCTATGGATTCCTAAGGTCTAATGCACTGTTCAAATGGCTCATGTAACTTTCACTAATGATAGTGGGGCAGTCAGGTCCTACATGAACTGGAGAGAGACTAGAGCTTTTATTAACCTATATTTTCTTGCAGCATTTGGTGGATAATTTGGGAATCAGGACTCCTGGGTTCAGTTCCCAGCTCTGCCACTAAATGGTATATGAATCCCCTTTCCTGCTCTGTGCCTTAGTTTCTCCATGTGTAGAATGGGTATAATGATACTGACCTTAAGTGTTTTGATATTTACAAATGAAAAGGGCACAGTGGATGAAAGGGATCTGCGCAAAGCATATGCACCACTTTTAAATGCTGCTTATACTCTTTAACTAGTGGGCTGCAGATTTCTGGGTCTGCTTTGCTCAGGGGCATAGAATATTCTGCAGAGCCCTTGGTCCACCCCCGCTCAGCTCCATACGTCAGTGCCCAGAAAGATGGAGATGCACGTCTCTGAACTCTAAGCTCTGATGTTGGCTCTTGCTCAGAGGAAGGTTAATGTGGCACATAGCCTTGTGCTGGCCCACAGAACAGGGGTGAATTTCACTCGCTACTAATATTCCAAACTGTGCTTCGCTTCAGATTGTCAAGGCAACTGGTTATGTAGCTTGTTTATTCGCAAAATAACTTCTTCCAATTATCTAATTGTTGGTTCTGATGATCAACATGGATTTGCAATTAGGCATCCTCAGTGGAGAGGAACTCAGGAAGCACATCTGCCAGTATTGCATCAGATATATTATAGGGCAAGGGTGGGCAAACTATGGCCTGGGGGTCACATCCAGCCCTTCAGATGTTTTAATCCAGCTGTCGAACTCCAGCTGGGGAGCGAGGTCCGGGACTTGCCCCGCTCCAGCCGGGGAGCGGGGCTGGGGGCTTGCCCTGCTCCATGCATGCCGGGTCTCTGTGCGGCTCCTGGAAGCAGCAGCATGTCCCCTCTCCGCCTCCTATGCGTGGGGGCAGCCAGGGGGCTCCACACACGGCCCCTGCAGCTCCCATTGGCTGGCAACTGTGGCCAATGGGAGCTGCAGGGGTTGCACCTATGGATGGGGAAGACACAGAGCCTCCTGGCTCCGTCTCTGCCTAGGAGCCGGAGGGGGGACATGCTGCTGCTTCTGGGAGCTGCTTGAGGTAAATGCCCTCCCCCCCAGAACCTGCACCCCTGCCCCGCTCCTTTGCCTCTGCCCCTGCCCTGATCCCCCTCCCACCCTCCGAACCCCTCAGTCACAGCCCAGAGCACCCTTCTGCATCTTCAACCCCTCATTCCGAGCCCCACTCCAGAACCCACACCCCCAGCCGAAGCCCTCACCCCGTCCCGCACCCCAACCCCCAATTTTGTGAGCATTCATAGCCCGCCATACAATTTCCATACCCAGATGTGGCCCTCGGGCCAAAAAGTTTGCCCACCCCTGTTATAAGGAGTTTAAATGCCTCTTTGGAAAAGTAACATTTGACACTTGGGTTCTGGAGGAACCCACATAAAATCACATGCTTATATTAGTATGTTTGATATAATATTTAGTATTTTTGTAGATATTATTCTAAATATTTAAGTACTTTAATCAGTTTCTTTTTAAATTTTAACCCAGGGGTCTGTTTGGTGGAGCCAGAGTGAATCATAGAATATCAGGGTTGGAAGGGTCCTCAGGAGGTCATCTAGTCCAACCCCCTGCTCAAAGCAGGACCAGAGCACCCTTCTGCACCTAAATTGCCCCCTCAAGGATTGAACTCATAACCCTGGGTTTAGCAGGCCAATGCTCAAACCATTGAGCTATCCCTCTCCTCCCCAACATTGCCCACTGGTTAGGCACTAGCTTAGGACTTGAGTGACCTGGATTCAATTCCCTGCTCTATCCACTATTTCCTGTGTGACTTTCGGCACATCACTTGACTTACCCATCTGTAAAGTGGGGATAATAACACTTCCCTACCTCTCAGTGGTGTTGTGAGGATAAATCAGTTAAAGGTTGTGAGGCTCAGAGATTAGAGTAATGGGGGGCCAGATAAGGACCTAAGATAATAACTGTAGCACAAGATCTGGTCTCCTGATGGTATTTTCACCATTCAGGAACTGACAGACCATCAGAAGAGCAGATCACATTTTGGGGATCCAGAAGTGCCTCCTTGAGACTTTTAAAAAATATTTCCAAAAGCCACGAATGAAACCAAGGCAAATATTTAGCCCCATGGGCATCCCTGCCAGGAACTCGTAGACATCAATAGGATCTGGTTTGCGTTGCCAGGACTTGCTGGGGCTGCATACAGCAGTAATAGTGGAATGCTTTGGGGTGAGATTCTCAAAAACTCTCCACGGTGGCCTAACTCTGCTCCCATTAAAGTCAGTGGGAGCTTTAACATTGTTGTCAGTGGGAGCAAAGTTGGGCCAGCTCAGAGCTTTTGGAAAGCTCCCCTTTTGCATAGTGATCAGAAACGCTGAGTTGTTCCCATTCGGATAGCCTGCGTATTCGTCTCCAAACTGCCTCGTGTCCATAGGTGCTGGAACTGGGGGAGCCGAAGGTGCTACAGCACCCCCTGGCTTGAAGTGGTTTCCATCATATCCAGGGTTTACTGTTGGTTTCAATTGTTCTCAACACCCCCACTATACAAATTGTTCCAGCACCCCTGCTTGAGTCTGCAAAACGGTTCTGGGATTCTCACGAGAACAGGATTTCTGGTACTTGTGGGTATTCAAGGTTTCCTATATGTCAGGTCACACATCCCAGTGACCAGCCACTATTTGGAGGGGAGGGGATCCTTGTGTAGTTGTAACCACAACCCTGGTTACATTATCTGTGGGATTGAACCTGGGCCCTCTGGGCCTACAAGCCTCTCTTGCTTGTAATAAAGGGCCAGATCCATTAACTCAAAGTCAGTAGCAGGCTCATTACGTGTTCTGTGCTTTCTAGCCATTAGAAGGGGACAAAGAGCCATGCTGCATTAGTGTGGGTTGACACACAAACTAAAGCGCCCATTGAACTCGATGGAGAGAAGAGAAGAGTTAGGGCGGAATTGATAGCAGCCTTCAACTAGCTGAAGGGGGGTTCCAAAGAGGATGGAGCTCGGCTGTTCTCAGTGGTACCAGATGACAGAACAAGGAGTAACGGTCTCAAGTTGCAGTGGGGGAGGTTTAGGTTGGATATTAGGAAAAACCATTTCACTAGGAGGGTGGTGAAACACTGGAATGGGTTATCTAGGGAGATGGTGGAATCCCCTTCCTTAGAGGTTTTTAAGGCCTGGCTTGACAAAGCCCTGGCTGGGATGATTTAGTTGGTGTTGGTCCTGCTTTGAGCAGGGGGTTGGACTAGATGACCTCCTGAGGTCTCTTCCAACCCTGATATTCTATGAGAGACTCCCCTGGGGTTGTAGTGGGAGCTGGATTAGGCTGTATCTGAGAGAACCAACTGGTAAAAATCAAAGGGCCTAATCCTGTATTTCTTGAGCAGCTAAACTTAGTGTTTAGACAACTGCTTACATAGGAGTTCAGGACTGGAAGGGACATCCTGGGCCATTGAGACCAGTCCCCTGCTATTGCAGGTAACCTTGTCATATAACCCTGCTTGTAACTTTATCAAGCTCCATCTTGAAACTAGTTAGATTGTTTAGACCAGATCCTGCATACTGGCAAGAGTTGTAATTTAAACCACAGACTGCAAAGATGGCCATTAGCTCATGAGTTCTGTTCTTTTACCAGGTTCCTTTTTATTCTCCTGGGTCCTTCAGGAAAGGCAAAATCCTACAATGAAATCGGCCGAGCTATCGCCACCCTCATGGTAGATGACGTAAGTAAATCTTATGATATGGCAGAGCCATGCTCCTGTTACATTCCCTTCACGTGCACTACATCCAGGCGATCCGTAATTTATGGGATTTCCCAAAGATGAAATGAGACGTCCCATGAGAGCTCCAGGACCAGAATGAAAATCATAAGACCAGTTTGGCAGGTGCTGTAAAAATCCGTGCAATTCCGTGGAAGTCAATGGAGCTACATCAGCTGAGGGATCTGCCCATAGGAATAAAGTTAAAATATTGTAATGTGTGTGTGTGTGCGCCCATCCACTGCTGTCCTCCCCTGGATAGAATCCGTTCAGCTGTGTGTCATAGGTTCCATATTGCCAACACTTAGCGACGATTCTTCTTTCGTTCAGATGACAAGGAACTGGGCTTTTGGAGCAGGAGGGTCTGAGTCGAGTCCCAGCGAATGTGTGATATTCCAGCATGCAACAGACTGACACCCATGAAGTCCTAGCTAGCCAGGGATTCATTCAGATATTGTTCACTAGCACAAATGTTCATGCTAGCAATGAGGGAGCCACAATCCGTGGTCCAAAATCTTTGTGATCTAGAAAGCATGTTAGATGAAGCCTGACCCTTCTTCTAGCAGAATTGGTTCTTCCATCTCTCCTACTGCCTAGCTAACAGTTTACCTAAACCGTTTGTCTTCTCTGTGTATTTCTAGCTTTTCAGTGATGTGGCCTACAAAGCCAGGGACCGAGATGACCTGATTGCAGGAATAGATGAGTTTCTGGATGAAGTCATTGTCCTCCCGCCAGGGGAGTGGGATCCAAACATTAGAATAGAGCCACCCAAAAAAGTACCTTCCGCTGAGAAGAGGTAGGTGGTATTAATTGCAGTGCAGTTCATAGTGCACTGGACTGGGACTCAGGAGACCTGAGTTCTATTCCTGGCTCTGCTACTGGGTAAACTTAGGCAACTCCCTGTGCCTCAATTTCCCCATCTATAAAACGGCGATAATGTTAATGACCTCCCTTTGTAAAGCACTTTGAAATCTATGGATTAAAAAGCACTATAAAAGAGCTAAGTATTATTATTAGCAGCATAATGAGCTTGATTCTGTTCATAGTTACAGTGGTGTAAATCGGGTCAATAGACTTACACTGGTGTAAAACCAGCACGACCAGTTGAGCAGCATCAGACTCGATTAGCTGGAGCCACGCTGAATTTTGGGTAACAAATCCAATGAAATGGATGAAATATGGCAATTTATTAGCAGAATTTGTATTAGCCTGGCCAATTCTAACCTAGCATTTCAGCTTCCATGGTTAGGAACTCAGAATTATCCCTTTATAGACAAATGTAAACGTAGCTAATATGAGGAATCTTTAAGGAATCTGCCTTGTATAATATTTTGTGTCTCAATGCAAAATTACTTAAGTGCCATCTCTTCTTTCAAGCCTAGATACAAGCATTGCACTCAGATGCTAAGTAATCTGTGAGCATGTAACCCTCTAAGCTGAGGGGTACGGATTATGCAGGGGTCCGTCCGTCTCTTGTGCCAGGGCCGGAACGCTCTGGAACAGCATTCCGGCACTTTTGCTACATGGAGGACCTCATTTTGCGAAGATAAATACACTAAAGATTGTGAGGTGCTCCCTTACTGTGGCATAAGATAGAAAGCTTCCATAGCACTTTTAAGACTTGCCAAACTCAAGCGTTTTTATTCACCTTCCGGGTTTTGAGCCTTTTAGGGTGGCATCTGCACAGTGAGCAGCAGCCCATGGCAGCAAGCCTCAGAGCCCGCATCTACAGATCCAGGCTGGCGCTAGAGTGCTAAAAATAGCCACAGAGACATTTGGGCTCGGGCTGGAGATCAGGCTCCGAAGACTACAGAGGGGGTGTAGCTCTTTTTAGGACCTTAGCAGGAGCCCCATGAGTTTGTAGAGCCTGACTCTGAGACTCGCTGCTCCGGAGCGCTGCTCACTCTGTAGACACACCCTTAGAGGTCACATTTTCAAGTTTTTCTCTGCAACCGGTTTCTCTGGAAACTTACTTTTTAATGTAAAAGCTAGCTCATCCCCTGCCTCAAGCAGCTGATGCATTAATGAAAAAAACACCAAATTTCGCAACTTGCAGGACAATCACAGGCAGTGAAGAGCTGCTTTTTGGAGCAAGAGAAATGCTAGATCCAAATGACATCTTACCGAAATAGATCCCACTTCTGGCTACAGTACGCTCAGTTTTTCATGATGTATTAATCCAATAACTAAAGGTCGATTATCTCGCAGTGTGTGCACATGAGCTAAACTGGAGTATGTGTGAGTTTTTCTCTTCCTATTGGTAGGAAAAACTCCAGGAACAGGGAAGATGGGTGGAGAGTGGAACTAATTTCCCAGCTACATCTCCTGGGTGACCCCCTGGTGGCCAGGTTTTTCAGAAGAGCAGTGTGTCGGGTGGTGGTGAAGAGAACGCTGGGGGCTGGGTTAGATCTCTGTCCCTCATGGAAAGCTTTGTTTTCTCAAGGAAATCCAAATGTGGGCTTTGTGATTCTGCAATATGCACCATTCCTCACCTCTTGTGCTGGCCGTTGATGCAATGTGGCTGGCAGCGGTACAAGGGCTGCTTGTGGGTCAGTGGAAGCAATTTCTATACATATCATCTATAATCTTCTAAGGTGACTGTGAGGCTTGTGGAGGTTCTGTGTAAATCGATAAATAACAATAGGGTAATGATCTATACCGTTAAAAGAAATAACAGGCACGTGGTAGCTGGTATAAAACTCAAGGCTCCTACACAACCCTTGGCTTTTGTGTAGACTAGAGTAGGTTGTGCAAGAATCTGTCTGCCTCATCCGCAATCACAGAGTCAAGTCATTCTGTACTTCACTCTGCAATAAACAGGCAGAGCCCTCCAGTCTGGCCCAGTGTCCAGAGCACTGGACTGGGGCTTAGGAGGCCTGGGAACTATTCCTGGCTCTGCCACTGGTGTGTTGGGTGACCTTGGCCAAATTGATGTGCCTCAGTTTCCCCATCTATAAAATAGAGATGATCCAGTGAAGTGTTTTGTGATTAGATAAAACATGCTCTAGGAGAGCTAGGTGTTTTTACTTACAATTGGAAGACCTAGATTATCCTAAAGGCAAATCCAACCAAAAATCAAAATGCTGCCCCAGACACAACTGTGCTAAAGGGAGGCCCTGTGTGTACAGCCAGGCTCTTGGGAGTCAAGACTCCTGGAAGTCCTGATTCTCCGTGTGACCTTGGAGAAGTTGCTTCACCTCCATGTGACTCGATTATCCCATCTACAAAGGGGAATTAAGAATGACCAACACCTCAGGGGTGCAGGGAGGCTAAACTCCCACTGGTTGCAAAGTGCTTTGAGTCCTTCCTGGGGTGAGGGGAGATGCTGCTGAAGCGCTGTCGTTCCAATCATGCCCCGAACATCTCTCAGGAAATCAGTGTTCTCACTGAACGAAGCAGGGCAGATGAACGGCACCGCGGGAGGAGCGGCAGGAGGGGGCGGCGGCGGAGGTGGAGGGGGCGGCAGTGGCAGTGACGACGGAGAAATGCCAGCTGTGCATGAAGTTGGGGAAGAGCTTGTCTGGACGGGCAGGTAAGCAAAGCCTCAGCCCCTGAAACATTGTGCAGTGCACTGGTGAGAGTGCCGCATGGTGCCAGCCTGGGTCCTGTGCTTTGGGGCAATATGCTGTCAGCCCTCTCCTACAACCTCCTCCACCTTCTGGCCTGGCATCTTCCCTTCCCCTTCAAAGATAAATGAAATTCCCCTCCCCACCCCAGATACAAGCACCTCTGCCCCTCTCCCTGCACACTCCCCAACGCCCCCAATGGTGATAATGGTCCTAGTCCTCGTCTCCCAAACTGCCCTCCCCCCAAGTGTCCATGAGGCCTCAGTCATGCTTTGTTTTACACAGATCCTTACAAAGGTGAAGGCCAGCACTGATGGGTATTGGTGCAAAAGTGCTTTTGAGGGTGCACAATGGGGAGTTGCCCACCCAAGGGCTCACATGTGTGCACAATTGCTTATGCTTGCAGCTGAATGCCAAGAAGCAAAATTTGCTTGACCTAGTCTCCTAGCTAAACGCTTCCAGGAAAAGTAGGAGCAAGTGTCAGGCTAGATTCCGCCTTGGGGTCGGCATGTGCCACAGAAACATCCGTGCCTTAGAACACAATCCCTGATGATACGGATTACCTGGGCCTCATTGGTTGCTTGTGCCCTCCTCATCCGTTCGTTGCATTCACCTGTTCTCTCATACTTAAGGTATGTCTATACTGCAATCACCGGGTGTGTTTGCAGCTTTTGTAGCCGTACCTGAGCGAGCTTTAATCAAGCTAGCACAGCAACTGGACCAAGAGAGCTGGAGCAACACCAGCTCCAGTACCCAGTACTCCAAGCCCGCCTGGAACTGTGGGTACTTACTTGTGAGGCTAATCCACTAAAGCTTGATTAAAGCCAGCCTCGGGTAGGTCTGCATAAACTGCAGTCACCCCCTGCTATCACAGGGTAAAACACACCCTCGTGAACTCTTCGGGACAGGGCCGCATCCTTGTTATGCATTTATACCTAGGGTGACCAGACAGCAAGTGTGAAAAATCAGGACAGCAGGTTGGGGGGTAATAGGATCCTATATAAGAAAAAGACCCAAAAATCGCAACTGTCCCTATAAAATCGGGACATCTGGTCACCCTATTTATACAATACCTAGTGCAGCGCGGTCCCGAGCCATGACTGGGGCTCCCAGGCTTTACGACAATGCAAATAATAATCCTAAATGGCCTAGTTCCACTCAGAGCTCATGGGATTGCCACATCTGGGACCCTTCTGCGTGTCTCCCCCAGGTTTTGCGGCGGCCTGTATTTGGATATCAAGAGGAAGCTGCCCTGGTTCCCCAGTGATTTCTATGAAGGCTTTCATATCCAGTCTATCTCCGCCATCCTCTTCATTTACCTGGGCTGCATCACAAATGCCATAACATTTGGGGGGCTGCTTGGTGATGCTACAGACAACTACCAGGTAAACCAAAGAGCTGCCCGGGGAGCTCTCCTCCTCCTCCAAAGGATTATTAGAGCTGGACCCCAGCCAGAAAGTTTGGACGCAGATGCCCCGATGTTTGCAGGGTGGCTTTTGTTGACACGTACCTTAGCTGTGCTGCATGGTGAGACGTTGCAGCTCCTGCCCCTTGCTACACATGTGGCAGGTAGCAGGATTCACAGCAGATGGCTATAACCCCTATGCAGCAGGCCATGTTCCTTTGGCGCTGCAGCCAGTTCTCCTCCCTAATGTGGTAGGTAAATACCCCTGCCCTGTGGCTGGGAGAGATTTCCACTCCACTGCGGTCCGTGATGTGAAAAGCCATTCCTAGCTAAGACATGGACATAATTGTCACTCAGCCTGAGGGGGAGACTTGAGGGATTGCAGACTCCAAACCGCCACTTCCGAGTCCCACAGATACCTCACAGTGCGACGAATCTGTAATGAAATCATTGCTTCTGCCAGCGTTTGCCCTGCCTGTGTGTCGCACAGCACCTGTGCTAAGTGGGGTAATTCACCAACACCCATTTGGCTTAGTATCAGCCCCAAAGCGCTGACCCGTGTCTTGAGGAACGAAGTGGGGATTCTTGTGCTGCCTGATTCCAGTGAGACACAGGCCGGGAAGAACGTGCAGGAGAACTGGCGCGAGTGTGTTCTGCAGCCACGCTCTGTGATTAGACCTCCCCTCAGCACGACTCCTCTGGTGCAACCCAGGGCACGTGTCTGACTGTCTCCTCACATTGTTTCTCTTCCCAAAGGGGGTCATGGAGAGCTTCCTCGGCACAGCGATGGCGGGCTCCCTGTTCTGCTTCTTTGCCGGGCAGCCGCTCATTATCCTCAGTAGCACAGGGCCCATCCTCATCTTCGAAAAGCTACTCTTCGACTTCAGCAAGTAGGTGGAACTCGCTCAGAATAGCGGCCCTCACAGCGGTAACACCAAAGGGGGCAGAGGCACAAGAGCAGGGCAGGTTCAGTCACTGTTGAGGCCTACATAGTGTCCCTCTAGCCATGTCATTATGGCGGTGGGCAGCATTCCAGGTGGGTCTACCATAGAGAAGAGGCCTAGAGAGCCTTCTCCACAGCTCTGCAGGTCTCCCAGTGAGAACAGGAGCTTGAAGCAGGTGCTCAGGAGACAGAGGGAGCTCCGCCGTCTTCTCCCTGGCTTCTCCACAGTTCTCTCTACTCCTTGGCGGCTGCTGAGAGAGCTCCCCCAGCGAGTTTGCTTACTGGGCAGGACATCAGCAATCGATCCAGGAGACTTAACAGGGTGCCCAGCGCTCCCCGGCCCAGTCTTGGCAGTCTCAGCCCGGTGGCCAAAGGCTGGATGGGCCATGGAGACTGAGTCACCTCTGACCCTTGTCAGTGGCAGCCGCTGCGCTGGTTAGGGGCACGTTGGCAGGGCAGAGTAAGGAAACTCGTGCCAGACCTGTCCTGTGAATGACTCCCTTGATCTCCTCTTGGAGCAGAGACCCTGTCTGGCGTTCTCTGCTTGGTGTCCCCTACTGGGGTTCTTCTGTTGCTTCTTTGATTCCAGCCCCATCCCTGTGCCTCTTATTTGTACCTCACAGAGCTAGAGAGGAAGGATGAGCCAGTGATTAGGGCACTAGACTGGGACTTTGGAGGCCTAGGTTCAATTCCCTGTTCTGCCACAGACTTCTTGTGTGACCTTGGGCAAGTCACGTAGTCTCTGTGCTTCAGTTCCCCCTCTGAGTTGGGGATACCAGCACTACCCTATTTCACAGGGGTGTTTCAAGGATAGATGAGGATGGAAATGGAGGCCATATAAGTACACAGACTCTGGTTTCTTTTCCCAAGAAGGTGGCCATTATCATTGATGTGAAAGGACCCCTGTGGGGGGCGGGCTCTTCCTTTCACTGGAGATCAGATACGGTGACACTTTCCATGAGCCCTCAGTTCCCGTATCTCTCTTTCCTGAGCAGAGCTGTTGTTTTGTTCTGACCTTCTGTTGTGCACAATTCCAGAGGCAACAGCATAGACTACATGGAGTTCCGTCTGTGGATCGGCTTACACTCTGCCCTACAGTGCCTTATCCTGGTGGCTACAGACGCCAGCTTCATTATAAAGTACATCACACGCTTCACTGAGGAGGGGTTCTCCACCCTCATCAGCTTTATATTCATCTATGATGCTATCAAGAAGATGATCGGCGCCTTTAAGTATTACCCTATCAATGCAGACTTCAAACCAGACTACGTGACCATGTACAAATGCGAGTGCATTGCTCCTGACCCAGGTGAGTCCAAGTCCTATTCCCTGTTGGGAATTTTACTGTGAAATTGCCGATTTGCTTGAACCACGCAGCTGTCATGCTGAGGTCCAGTTCTTGAGAGAGAGTGCTGCACAGCTTCCTGATTGGTCCTTGAAAATTGCGACCTGGTGGAGGGGCGGGTAGCCTTTGCTGCATGAGCTTCATTTGGTGATTTACTCCAGCAGCTTGTTTTAAATGGAAGCAGTGCTGCCTAGTTGTTAGAACACTGGACTGGAACTTAAGAGACCTAGATTTTCTTCCCAGCTCTGTCACTGGCCTGCTGGGTGAACTTGGACAAGTATCTGTGCCTCAGTTTCCCCATCTGTAAAAATGGGGAAATGATACTGACCTGCTTTGTAAAGGGCTTTTGAGATCTCCTGACAATAAGATTATTAAATCTTGGTCAGCTGCACTTTCAAAGGACATTCCAGGATAGAGTTTCACCCCTCCTCCCCACAATAGAGCGGTTAGGATGGCAGTGTCCGTTCACCTATGGTCACAGTATCTCTGGGTGGATTACAGTGTCATCCCACAAAGTATGGTCTCTGTCCAACGGGGATTTGGGGAGTGATCTCCCCACCAGCAATATGTTCTCTACTCTGGTTCCCTAGAGCAGTGCTCCCAAAAGGGAGCAAAAAAAAAAAATCTCCTTGGCAGACCAGCCCATCCCCGGTCACGGAGGTCGTGTAGCAAAATACCTCCTCTATAGATGACCAGACCTAAACCCATAGGAATTAGGGATGGAGAAGACTTGTTAGATCCAACTTCCAGCCAATGCTGGATTGTTCCCAAGAGTATATTCTTGAAAGGCTTTATCACTCCAGTTTTAAGTGTGCTAAGTGACAGGACTTCCAGTGGGACATTCACGAGGTTTCCACAACCCTTTTGACTGGTTCACCCCTTGGGTCTTTTCTAGAAATGCGTCTGTCTTGGAGTTGGGGGTGGGGTTTTTTGTTCTGATTTTTAACAGCTTCGTCCAGTATTGTGCTGATTTCTACCACCGCAAAGATACAAAGGGATAGGGCAATTAAAGCAAAACAACATTGGGTGAGAGGAAACCAAACTTTTTCCAGAGCCAAGATGTACCCATTCTCTGCCAATGGCTGTATTGAAGAAGGCTGTAATTCAGGCTCATTTCTATCACACCAAAACCAACCCAAACAGCTTTTTATTTTCATTTCATCCTCAATATTCATATTTGCTCTTGGAAGTTAATTTCCAAATTCTCCAGAATTCAGATTACACTACTCAGAAGCGCAAAAGTACTACTAGCACTCAGAAGAGAACAGAGTCATTTATTGTAATGTTATCAGGAAAAGTTTTCCCTCAAAATTGCTGATTTATTTAAGGGGAGAAAAACGCTCTGGGAGATTTTAAAATAACTATGGAAGGAGAAGGTAGAAAGGTACGACAACACACACTCTGGAAATAGAAATGTAGAAATAAGCACTGGCATGCCAAATAACCTCCATAGACATCTATCTGATTGCACTTCATTACATGTTTAGCTGCTTATCTGATATGCTAGAAGTAACATCTATCACATTTTTTGGTTTCTTTTCTTGACTCATGGTTATCAACAATTGGCATTTGTGCTACTGAACAACCACAACACTGTGTACAGTGTCACCTCTAGCTCAGAGACCATGCTGATGAGCACAGTTACGGATACCTAGACTGAGTATATTGCATCATCTCATTGTGACACAGTGGGTACGTCTACACAGCAGCCTGGGTGTGATTTGCAGCTCCAGTAGGTGTACTTCTGGACTAGCTGTACTCTAGCTAGGTCTGCGAAGCTTCTGGGTCCAATACACATTGGTGCAGCCACATCACTATTTTTTAGCAAGCTTTTTATGTCACATGTTGACGTATCATCCTAACAGGAGGACACTGGGTTGTGATGCTGTACCATGATGTCACGATTTCACTTGTGAAACCATTGACTGTGCCACCAGCCTCATGTCTTTTCTTTTTCTTCTTACGAAGAGTGTCACATTATAACAACCTTGCAGCCGTTCATCTCTAAACTAAGGGCTTGACCCTGCAAGGGCTGAGCACTTGGGCCTTATCCAGTGAAAGTCTTAAGATGCGCTTAAAGTTAAGCACACAAGTAGCCTGACTGAAGTTGATGAAACTATGCAGCTGTTTAAAGTTAAGCACCTGTTTAGGTGTTCTGCTGAATTCAGCTAGAATGCTTGGTAGAGGCTTAAATCGATATAGGACTCTCCACTCACATTCCCCATATCTGGAGATTCTTAGGGACTATATTTGTTTCCTCTGAAGCTGAGCGGGCAGAAACACACTACTGACTGCTGCAAGTTCTTCCAGGGTTGTTTTGGTCTGGAAGCATCTCTAAGTTTTTTTTTTTTCACCAACAGTTCATTCAGGGCTAATCTACACTACCACACTCCATCGGCCCAGCTGCACTGCTGGAGTGCATCTGGCAAAGACGCACCGTGGCAACAGGAGAGCACTTTCCTGTCGACGACATTACTCCACCTCAACGAGAAGGGGAAGCTATATCAGCAGGAGAGCGTCTCCCGCTGATCTAGCGCAGTGTGCACACCACTTTAAGTCGAGTTACGTCGCTCAGAGGGGTGGCTTTTTCACATGCCTGAGTGACGTCACTTACATCGACTTAAGCGGTAGTGGAGATAAGCCCTCAGCAAAGACCAGAAAAAGTGAATGGACTCTTGGAATTCTTCAGTGGTGTCATTATTGTGTTTTCTCATGTTGGCAGCACCCTGCTCTGCATTGCAGTGTCTGTTTCGCTTCTTGTGCTCATCCTGCCAAAGTTGCCTTGTTGGAACTTCAGTTTGCACCTTTGAGCTGACTGAGGAAAAAAGTAATATGCCATCTCGAAATCTATCTGCACTGAAGTGCATCACTGAGCATTTGTGCACAGTTTGGTTTGTTTGGTCCTTTGCCATCTTTATTCTTGTAAAATCATAGAAACTAGTGACTGACGGGGCTACCTTTCCATATCCTCAGCCAGTGCTGGCTTGTTTCCTACAGTGTGTTCTAAAATGTCTTGGCCAAAGTTGGTAAACTGGTCTGATCCGAATATTAAATCTGCTGCGCAGTAAATGCTGCCACTGAAGCTTTTAGCTGGCTTTGCTCGTGTTAAATATTGGTTTGTTGAAGCTTTTTCCTACATCAGTAGCAAGTAACCTTTCAGAAAGACCTGCTGTCAGCATAAGCATTCTTCCCCTTTTTTGTAGGAACATAGGAATGCCCACATACCAGACAGAACAATTGTCCATCGACCCAGGTCTCTAGCCTCCTATCTCTAGCATCCTTTATTAGATGCTTCAGAGGAAATTGAAAAATTCCTGTTCCGACACACAATTGCATTCAGTCCAAGTTCTGCAGAAACCTGCTGGATTGTTTCCTTGCCAGGCGGTAATCAGTGGTGTTCTGTTCTCACTTGATTCACGTGTATCCTTTTTGCAGTGGTATAATGCAGCAGTGTGCTTTGAAGTACCAGCATGCCATTGGAGCATTGGTGTTGGAGCTTGGGGTAGTGGTTAGAGCAGGGAACTCGGAGCTAGGACTTTTGGGTACTATTCTTAGCTCTCCCACAGAAGCGCTGTGTGTGTGCATGGGCCCATTGCTCAGTTTACCTAATGAAACATTGACACTTCAAGGGTAATATACTTGGTGCATGAGCATCACTGGAGTTAGGTTTCTCCATGATATACATGATGTATCAGATAGAGTCAAGGCAGCTGATGAGAGAGGGCAAGGGATATTTCCGCAGTATATATTAAAGGTCGAATAGAGCTGTAATACAGTGGCAGGTTCCAGGAAGGCGCACAGGCATGCAGGGATCTGCAGGTGCGTTAAGATGCAGAGCTGTTTCCGACACCTCATACGGGGTCAGATGGGATCCTGTTAGTTCCCACTTACAGTATTAGAGGGGCAAAAAGAACTAGGGCCTGAGACAGTGTGTGGTCCTCTAGGGTAAAAACTATAGGAACAACCTTACAGAAAGCTTAAGAGATTTATGTTTGGTTGTTATAAGATAACAGTAAAGACAGACTCCAGGAAGGGGAGGAGCTAAGTTTGGATCAGATCTGGGGTGTGCATGTCCCGTTTGCAGCAGAGTGGGGACTTCGCCTGCTTCTTTGAGTCCTACGGGCAATTTCCTTTTGTTGCCTTGCTGACACGTACCTTCACATTCTCTAAATGTGGACAGAAAACAGCAGCTCTTTTCTTTTTGAAAAACAAAATATTTTCTGACTTGGAATTTACAGTTTAATATGATTGGAAACCTGTTCCTGTTAACGTGCAATTGGTGAGGTCACCTCAGTGATATGTACAGTGCCATCCTGAAAGATGCGTGTCAAAATATTGCCGGCTGCTGTCTGCCAGGAATTCTCCGGCAGAACACGGAGTACGTGACACAACCATATGGAATGCAGACGGAGAGACAGAGGAAGCTAGAGAAGGAAACCAGCCCCCTTACAAGTCTATGTCCTTTCGTTGATTTAGAAATAATAGACTACCTGGTTTGGGCTACTGGCTCCTATTGCTGAGCTATAGTTCTCTGAGAAACAATATATATATATATATGACTATATGTATTTTTACTGCCCATTCCAAGTCCTGCTAGCTACTACAGTTAGTGCAACCACTAGCTCACATACCATCTCCAATTTCTTCCCTTCACAATCATCCATCCGGGCAGTTTGAGAAATTTCTATTTGAACTTTTGTCTAATGGAAAAACTGGATTTTTGACCCAAAAATGAACATTTTACCAGAATGGGTCTGTGTTTCTTGAAAAATTTCAGTTTCTCATTGGAAAACTAAAGTCTTGATAAACAAAAAAATTTTAGTTTTCAGTTGCCAAAAACGGGGGAAATCAGGGGGTTTTTTTATGAAGAGTCAGAATTTTTCGCAGGAAAACCCCTTCATTTTCCAGCCAGCTCTCTCATGCAGATCTCAGTGAATTCCCTCCCTGTTTGGAGAAACTGCCAAATATTTTAAGGCAAAAGGTTTGGATTTTGTTTGAAAGAACCACAACTAATATGAATAGAAAGATTTTCAGGACACTTACATTTCGAGGAAAACAGGAGAAATTTGCGTTGATTTCACGCGCACGCACACACACACACACACACACACACACTTTTTAAATATCATCATCCTACACTTTTAGAAACTCAAATATAACATCATCATCCTAGTGCAAATGAGCCAGAAAGTGAAACTGAACATACATACACTGAAACTGAGCAGTCTACTTTCAGTCTAAACTGAGTTGAATCCATGCAAATAAAATTTATGAATAATGAAAAGTAAATTAATTTTTTATATTCCAGTTTTAATCAGAAGAGATTTTTAAAAAAATATATTAATTTAATCTTGAAAGTGCCTCTTAAATTTCAGTCTGCATAAACGGTTAGATTATTTAGCCTTTTTTGCCGTGAAAATTGAGTTTTTCCTGAGATTGAAAAATCGGCTGTTTTCGCAAAAATGTTGCCTATTTGTTTGGCAGGAAAATCAAGCCTCTTAAACTGGCTTAGAAATTCTAACTTTTTCTTTTCCAGGTCTATCTTTAATCGCTTTTCTTAAATCTTCCCACGTTTTAAAACTCTTGACTAGAGAGGCTGCAATTTCTTGCCACCAGGGGATCAAATTCTGTTCTTGGTGAAGTCACTGCATATCTAGAGTCATTCCACAGGCTTCAGTGGAGTGATTCTCATTTAAAGTGATGTAAGGACCTGATGCTGTAGAAACCAGCGGTGGTGCAGGATCAGGCCCTCCCTGAGAGTAGAATTTGACCCTTTGAGTCTTCTTTTCTGAAACAGCACTTCCCACTCAGTGACCACAGGTCTGCTAGTGATAGTAGGGTCTGAAAAAGTGCTTCCCCTGCGTGGGCACAGCCTGAGTGACCTTTTGAAGCATTAAATATAGAAGAGGGCCCTCTCTTCAGATTTCCCTATCTCTGTCTGGTGCAATGCAGAGGGAGACAAGGGCCGTTTTAAAAAAGAAATGGACTATCGTATGTGCAAAGTTACCCCAAAAATATTCCCCAAACGATGGTGAACTTTTCCAATTTGATTAAATGTTGCACATACACACACCTTTCTGCAGAAATTTGCTAACACTTTCTTTTTCATACGTTGCTGAGCAATACCCAAATGGAAGGCATCAGTAGACAGAGGCAACAGCTGTGCAAGCTGAAATCCACTAGTCATCCAAAAGACGGGTGTGGCAGTGCAGGCTTCCCCCATGCAACCTCGGTTCTGACTGGGAAAAACTCCAAGCATGGAGTTACATTGGTTTAAAATCAGTGTGAGAACAGAATCAGGCCCTTCATCTCTAGGGATGATTTGCTAGCATAGTCTCCATGTCTCATTTGACCTCTGAGACCACCCATCTATTACAACCAGTTGTAATGGTGGGTTAGTGGGTTCCCGCAAACTGCTCTGAGACCCACCCACACATTTCACATGTGTCTCCTGTGAACACCATCTAGGATCCAGGTTTGAACTAGAGGGAACTAAATCAACTGTCTGATTTCTGAGGACATTAGCACCAAATAATGTTTCTTTTTGGCTTCATCATAATATTCTTTTTAGCAGGATGGTCTCCTGTAGTAATAGCTTCCTTTGAACTCAAACCCATATAGGGGTGTAGTGACAGGTGAACTATACAGAAGCGCGTGGGAGTCACAGGGCACTTGCTGCCTTTGGACTGTGTCTCTAAACAACATGATCTAGCCTACAGAGACTGAATTACTCTCACTCCCAGTGGCAGTCCCTTCAGGACAAAGTTTGAGGCATGTTGGCGAAGTCTGTGTGGACAACTAGCCTTCTTTTCATCCATGCAATATCTGTTCTTTGGACAGACAAAGGATTTCAGTCTCCAGAGCTGTCAAGCTGGCATCTTTTACCATCATTGAGTTAATTTAATAATAAAATGTATTTTAAGTGACTTAAAACAGCTGAGCAAACCAAAACCACACGTATCTCCTGTGTTACACGCAACCCCAAAGTCCACATGGAAACGCCATTCTTCTCTAGAAGTTTTTCTACACTGTAAACCCTCAGTCTCCTCCCAACAGCAGCCACACTTAAACTTGTTCTTTCACCCGTGTTGCTCTGGGCATCTAATAAAGTGGTGTCAGATTTGGACATTTCACTCTTCCAAATATTGAGAGTGTGTGTTAATCTCCTTTTGGTCCTTTTATTTATTTTTGTTAGTTAGTTCTGATTTTTGACTATTGTAACTGATTTGTACCATATTTGTCTCTGCTGCACACATCTATTTGGCTGCTTTCAATCTCAAGTGAGTATCACTTTATAAATATTAAAATTATTTAATATTTGATACTCTTACCCTTTTGTTTTATTTTTATTTTTTTAATGTCTCCTACTTTTATCTCGAGTCCAATATATCCATTTGTGTAAAGCACTTTTATGGGCCTTCTCATAAAAATACAGCCAATGCTACAGTGTTCTTTAAGATGGGCAATGAACAATTTAAAGCAGTAGAAATCGCAAATATGTCTGGTTCTGGAAAAGCTAAAGGTTATCGAAAGAAACCTTTAACATTGTAAAGTCTGGAGTTAATCGAACCAAAAGTCACATTAGTTCAATTTTCCCTTCCTTTTCTCTGGTGGTGGAGTATTGTTTTGATAGCACCAAGGGCTCTGCTTCTAATCCAGCAATCACTTCTCCTTCATTAATTATCCTGTGTAGTTCATCGGGGAAAGGAATGACAGCATCTTGAGGCAGGACATTAGATGTTATGTGTTTGCCACCTTCAGAATTATAGAAATGTTGGGCTGGAAGGGATCTCAAGAGGTCATCTGGTCCAGTCCCTTGAGCTGAGACAGGACCAAGTCAACTTTAGACCATCTCTAACAGGTGTTTGTCTAACCTGTTCTTAAAGACCTCCACTGACGGGGATTCCACGACCTCCCTTGGAAGCCTATTCCAGGGCCTAACTCTCCTTATAGTTAAACATTTTTTTCTACTATCTAATCTAAATCTCCTTTGCTGCAGATTAAGCCCATTACTCTTGGTTCTGCCTGCAGGGGTCATGGAGAACAATTGATCGCTGCCCTCTTTATAACAACCTTTAACATATATGAAGAATTGTTAACTGGATGGGAGGCCCATGGAGACTACAGCTCCCATAATGAATCCATGCCTGCCAAAAGAAACCTCATGACTTTAACAAGTTCATCTGCAGCAGTGAGACAATTAGGTTCAAAACGCATGTAAATATGCATAGGGTTTTTTTCAGTAAGTTTATCCTTCTGCAGGGTATTCTTTAAGCAGGCAATGGGTGTTGCTTACAACAGAAATTCCCAGCTCGTGTTCAGTTTCTACTTCTGAGTCATTCTGCCTCCTTAGGAAAGTCACCTAAACTCTCGGTCCTTCAGTTTCCATCTATACGATGGGTGGAATAATACCCACATACCAAGGATATTGTCGCTTAATTAAGCACTTTAAAATCCTCCAACAGAAGGCGCCAGAGAAGTGCTCTAAGTACCATCCTTAGTGCTGTGGTTTTGTTTTTCTTTATTCGGGTTTCCAAGTGCAAGAGGTCCAAGTCTCTCCATCCATTTTCTCCTTGAAAAGGGCTGGGTGGGGTTAGAGAGGGAAGCCTCTTTCTTGCAGAGAGAATCCAGGATGGCAATGGAAGAAATTTGCCCTAGACGAGGGGTGACCTGTTGAGCAAACGCAGCTTCTGGAGAGAGAAGGGTTTCTTTTTTCCTAACTTGTTTCTAAAAAGGTGGTCCCCAGTGGATCTCTCCAAAAGCCACAAAGTTCTTGCAGAAGGAGTGACCCTCTAAGAATGAGGGTAAGCCCCCCTCCAGGAGAAAGAGACATTGGGTTCTCTCCAGCGCCCTCTCCCCCAAGAATGGCAATTCTTTCAGATGGACATATTAACTTTCAAACTATGATCCCCTCCCCATACCAAATCCAGAAAAGTGAAGGCTTTGAAGAAGGGACCCCATCTGCGTCATACGTTCTCTGAATTGGTGGTAAGCACAACTGTATGTTATAATGGCAAAGAACACAATGAACAACTGAGGGGGCATTCAGGGAGCTGGGAGAGGTCTCCTAATGGATGGCAGGGGGCATTGCTTGATTTGATTCGGGGGGGCGAGGGGGCTCCCATTGATATATCTCCCTGGGAGCTACCCAGAAAACCAAAACGGGTTCTTTTATATGGCCACTCTTTTCTTTAGGCTGAGAGGCAACACTTCTGACAGTGGCCTAGGTTGCAGCCAAATGTGGTCCATGGACCAAATGTGGTCATTTAAAGTGAAGGGGAAGCCCACTGACACCACAAATCCCAAGATGCATGGGAGCTGAGTCTGAGGTCACGTGACCTACGATGACGTGTTGCACCATGGGACCTGTAGTCTCCATGGGCCGCCCGTCCTCGGATAATGAAGTAAGATGCAATCTGTTCCATTTTCTTACAATGAAGTGCATCTCTGGGGCTCCTGGCAAGTTGCTAATGAGGCCCTTGAGGGGTCATTTTCTGGTCTAAATGGAAGGCCACACACTATATTAATCCGGGAGAAGTCGCTGCTGGAATTAGAACCAGAGTTTACATTCTAGCTCCCAAAATCTGTGTTCTTCCCTTCATGCTGGTTTCACTCCTGAGTCCCGTCCCCCTCCCTTTCCAACAGGTCTGTAATAATGTGCTTATCCTAGACTTCATTACATTCTTTCCCTTCCATGTAGACAGAGCTGTCTAAATGACCCACAGCTGTGTGGGACACTAGGTAACCCTTGCTGGGAACTGAACACAGAGTTTTTTGCTCTCTCCTGGGAATGGAAGGGCGGTTACTGGTTCAAGCCAACAGGGTCAGCTCAGCTTAAACAGGATTTCCATGCTGGATTGAATTTGACTATTTGTTTTATATATATAAAACCTTAATAACAAACTCCTTTTCTGCAGTGAATACAACATTGTTCAATGCTTCAGCTCCGCTGGCACCAAACAACACTAACATTTCTGTGGTAAGTACTTTTGTTTTATGTATATTCAAGTAGCGGGTAGCTGAGCTCTCTGGATCCTTACTTTCTTTCTGGGCTAAGAAAGTAGGACAACTGGGGATCCGCCAGCTAAAGCAGTCACGCAGTCTTCTTCCAGGGATGCTATCAAAGCCTACAGCGATTGCTTTAGAAATCAACTTCTTAGTTATATGACTTGCCAACCAAATGAATTAAAAATCACAGCATGGAATTAACGTTCAGCTTTGGGGAAGGAGCGGAATGGGAACCGTGTGTCTCTTCGTTCCAGTTGCAATGGCCTGGCAACATCCCTTCACGTGCCCAACCAGGATATTATAAACCACCGAAGAACAGACTGCGCCAAAGAATCCACGGCAGTGCACGCTGGGCTAGTTAATCTCCGCTGGGTGGCTGTGTATGCAGTGCATACACAATCAGTCAAGCACTTATAAAGCGTGGACCTCACCATTGAATGTGAGGCCTCTCTATGCACAAACTTGCACTGGCTTATTTAAACCAGAGCAAACCTCTGCATGGACACGCTTATTTCCATTTAAGAGCAGGTTATTTCAGTTGAAACAAAAGCTGTTCCTAGTTGACTTACTTGAAATTGAAATGAGCCTGGTTTAAACCGAAAAAAGACCCTCCACTGTGGTTTAACTCAATTTAAAATCACACTTTAAGTTAAACCAGTGAAACTCTGTGTGCTGTGGCTTAAGGAGCTCCCAGCCACATGGGACATGCACCAGAGCAAGGGTTTGTCTACACACGGTTATTCAGGAGTAGCTATTAGACTTTAAATTCACACCCTACCTTAGTCCAAGTTAACTTTCAAGGGTAGACAAGCCCTTAGAAAAGTTGTACCAATTTATAAACCAGTTTAGGGCTTGTCTACACTCACAAGTTAGAATAAGGAGAGACTCCAAAACCATGGGACAGATTGTTACTGTTATATTGGTGTGTATTTTACCCTAGCCAAGATACAAACAATGACCAAGACTTTCAGAAGTTGTGAGTGATTCTGGGTTCTCCAGGTTGCGGGTGCCCAACTTGAGATACCTTAAAGGGGTCTGACTTTCACAGGCGGGTGCTGAGCACTTTCCAAAAATCAGGCCCTTTTTAGCGGTCTCAAGTTGGGGATCCAAAAATCACTAGGCACTTTTTGAAAAATCTTTTAATATCTGGGCACCAGATAAGCTCTGGATGTCTCATTATTAAGAGACATGGTTCTTATCTGGTTTAGCGCCGCTGACGTTTAATGTCACGACAGTGGTCACCCTTAAAAACTTGCCAATTTTGCTGTTGGATAAAGGGATATCGTTACTTCTATTTACAGTTATCCTTATACTTACTGTAGGAAATACGTTGAATACTACAAATTCTGAAATAAAGTTGATTCTGATCCAAGTTCTTACGGGTGACAGTGATGTGTTGCACTGTATGTTTGATGGCGCACTTTAACTTTCCGCAGAATTATAGTGGCGCTCCTAAGCAGTGCCATATGACTAATTGCATTTGCCTGCACACTAGAATTGCTAAATGTATTAATAATATTTTGGTTTATTCTCTTCAACACTTTGATTCCAAGTACAATGCTATTAATGTAACAGCTCTGGACTGGACCCAGCTGAGTAAGAAGGAATGTCTAAAGTATGGCGGAAGCCTAGTAGGGAAATCCTGTAAATTTGTTCCTGACTTAGCCCTCATGTCCTTCATCCTCTTCTTTGGGACTTATTCCATGACTGTAACGCTGAAGAAATTCAAGTTCAGTCGCTACTTTCCTACAAAGGTAAGAAAAAATACAAAGACCATGAAACCCCTCTATATTTCAGTTTCCACCATAAGTTGTAAGCTGGTCCCTTTCAGAGAGACATGGGCAACTTGAAATACAGATCTTGGCCTCCAATCCTGCATTTGGATCTGCATGGACAGACTCTTATGCATGTGTGTTGTCCCATCAAAGTCAGAGGGCTTCTCTACAGGCACAGATTTGGGTAGATCTAATTGCAGGATCAGGGTCTTATTGAACAAATGTGCGGGTCAGAGTGGGGATGGGGGGAGGAATATGAAAAAGAAGAAGAAGCATGCAAGATTTCTAGTTTGGGTGTTTGGGGTTTTTATTATTATGAACATCTCTTTAGCTTGCCCCATGATTTGTAATTAGACACCTGTTCAAAAGAATGTGCAATAGAGTACAGAAGATTAATTTTATTTTATAGAAATCCATGCAAACATTTTCATATTAGCTTTTAGCCTTCCCTTCCACACACTTTATTTTACAACATCAAAATTCTGAGCTTAACCTATCCAGCAGGTGTCCTTTAAATTATTAAACATGAAAGAATTTTAAATATCCCGTATGTTTCTTGCTATGGATGTTCTCTGTTGAGTTTTTTGCATTTCACCTACTTAGGACAATGAAAATCTATGAAGCCAGTTTTGCTTTTATTTATGGCCCATTTCACTTTCAGATGTAGCAATGTTTGGGCTGCAAACACTGCATACTGCTTTCATTAGGAGGCCTTTTTTGAGTTGTCCTTTTATTGGTCTTAGCTTTTATAATGGCAAGTTTTTAACAACATTTAAAATTCAGGGTAAATTTAAGATGCCCATATACTTTTCACTTCCCATTTCTGTGAAGTCTGCATCTCTCTAAAAGATTCTTGAACTTTTTCTATGCATACAATTCATTTTAAAAGTAGCAGAATCCGAGCCACCACTGGCTGATATTTCTGCCAGTTATGAGGAACAGAGGCTGATCCATGTTTCTGGGTTTATTTTTTCTACATCTGATAAATGAACTTTCTTCAAACTTTGCATTAACTTGCTAAAAACTACAAGTTGCTGCCATTTAAAAACCCTCTTCCAGATCTCAGTTGAGGATTTGATGTTTTAATAAAGCAATATGCCAATATTGCCAACCTGAAATCATAAGCTTTTTTTTAATTGTTTTATTTTGATTTGTGAGCTTTTAAGCTGTGCTTGGGTCACATTTCCAAGCTTTTCTCCACAACCAGAAGGACTAGGAACATTTAAATGAAAGCTGAGAGTCTCACATATTCACATGACTCCAGGAGCTTGGGATTTAATAATAAAATCATGAGAACTGGTCATGCTGATGTGGATGCTCTGACTTACACCAGTGAAAATCAAAAGTAACTCCTTTGACGTCAACAGAGTTACACCTGGATAAGAAGGAGATCGGGCCTGTTTGTCTCCTAATGTCCCAGTGGTGTACTGCATGCTTGGAGATCTGTAAGCCACCCTGTTTAACCAGCCTTTCCCTCCCAACCCCATCTGCCTCCAGGTCAGGGCCTTCATTGCTGATTTTTCCATTGTCTTCTCCATTCTGCTGTTCTGTGGAATAGATGCCTGGTTTGGCCTGGACACTCCAAAGCTGCATGTTCCCAGTATAATTAAGGTTCGAATGTAGCGGTTTTGAGGTTCTTTTCTCTCCTGATTTCTGTCCCTTCCAATTCCTTTCCAGCTAACCCTTGAGACTGTCCTTCCAACAGCTACATTAGGAATGGGATGAAAGGGATTCGGTTTCCAAGACACTTTATTGGCTGATCTGATTTTTTCAGTGGTGAAATTATTGGCAAAAACATTTCTTGAGCACCCCATCTCCCCCAGCCATCAAATTTATGGACATTGAACATCCAGCCTCAGTAATATATGTGCAAACATCACATAGAAAGAAGTTTATCCCTGGCACACAATATACATTGATTAGAGCAGGGGATGGAAAGGTTGGGTCAGTGGTTAGGGAGCCAGGATGGGACTAGACCTGTGGTCAATTCCCTGCTCTGCCACAGACTTCTTATGTGACCTTGGGCAAGTCACTTAGCCTCTCTGTGCCTAAGTTTTCCCTCTGTAATATGGGGTTATAGCATCCCCATTAAAGAATGGGAGGTGCTCACAAGGTAACAGAGTCCATGTGAGTACCTTAGGGAGATATTCATGATTCACTAGGGAATGACTCCGACCCCTGCTGAAGCAAGATGATATTGATATCAGTAAATATCCATTCCATTTCTCTGTTGAAATGAATTAGCTAACACTGCGTCTCACATGAATTATTTTCATTCTCTGATTAATGCTCAAACTCCGCCACTTTTCTGCCTTTTCTTTGTGTTGATTTGTGTTCTCTCCCTCTCTCTGTAGCTACGTAAACTTATTAGTGACTTCTCTATCTTCATGTCCATACTAATGTTTGTTGGTCTCGATGTATTGTTTGGACTGAATACTCCTAAACTGCAAGTGCCTACTGATTTTAAGGTAAAAGAACTAGCGTCCCTTTCGAAGTATTCAGCGCTCTCTGACAATATGCGTATTGTTACAAATCTGCAGCTGTGTTAGGATGTCAGTTATTTATTGTTACTGTTAATTATTTTATGATAATAGCACCTCGAGGGGTGGTGGTGAAAGGAACCCCTGATGGACGTAGCTATGTTGACCTCACTTTTAAGTGTAGACCAAGCCTAAGCATAAAGCTATGTCTACACTGTAGGGGTGTGAAGAGGTGTGATCCCTGACCGACAAGTAGTGTCAGCAAAAGCCTCTAGTGTAGACACAGCTAAGCTGCGTTTTTACCAATCTAGCTTGTTTCCCTCATGCGGGATGGTTTAACAATGCCAGTCCAGAGTGCAGCTTTGCTGACATAAGCAGTATCCATGCCAGGAGCGCTTTGCCCATATAGCATATCAGGACAGTGCTCCTAGTGTAGACGTGGTCTGTGACTCAGGGCGTGTCTACACTACACTGGCTAGAGTCCCCTTGTGGAGACGCAGGGTATACCAGCAAAAGGACTCTTGCTGTTATAAGTTGTAACTACACATTTTGTTGTCATAGTGGTGTCTGTTAGAGATTTTTTTTTCACACCCCTAACCAACATAGCTATGCTGGTAAAACTTTGTAGTGTAGCCCGGGCCATGCAGTAAATAGGGGGAGCACGAGACACAATGAGACAATGTTTGTCACTATGCTCTGCACTAGGGTCGTTCAGAAAACCATGCTGGAAGGGAGACAGAACGCCCACAGCACTTCCGGCTGCCAAAGCCCAGGCCCCTAGCACTTGAGCTAAAGGAGGATCTCTTGAATGTTAGTGGCACAGTGCCTGTGGCCATGACCCACATTTGAGCAATTCTAATTCTATCCGGTGGGGGAAGTGATGTGTGTACGTGCTAGCCAGTTCCCCTCACTGTGATTGTGGGTTAGAATGGTTGTCCAGTGGCTCAGGAGGGTGGCGGTCAGTTCCCAATGTGGATTAGGTACCGATTGTCCTGGAACAAGATTGCACTCCCAACAGACTCAGGTTTTCGTACTCTTCCAAGATTTTATACAAATTTGCCCAAATGCAATGGCATTTTCCTGAAATGTAATTTTTATGACCCGGAGTCAGAAAGCGGCATACAATAACCCTTGCCTTGCTCTGTTTTTAGCCCACTCGCTTAGATCGAGGATGGTTTGTGTTCCCATTCGGTAAGAATCCATGGTGGATCTACTTGGCCAGCGCCCTTCCAGCTCTGCTGGTTACCATCTTGATCTTCATGGACCAGCAAATCACAGCTGTCATAGTCAATAGGAAGGAGCACAAACTGAGGGTATGGCTTTTAACAGTATCTGGAGGGATACTCAGTGGTTTGAGCATTGGCCTACTAAACCCAGGGTTGTGAGTTCAATCCTTGAGGAGGCTATTTAGGGATCTGGGGCAAAAAAAAACTGTCAGGGGATTGGTCCTGCTTTGAGATGGGGGTTGGACTAGATGACCTCTTAAAGTCCCTTCCAACCCTGATATTCTATGATTCTATGAACTGATGTAAACCTATTCAACAAACCATAGAGAAGACCAGAAACTGGGCCATCTTCTACCCTTCATTACACATGTGCTTCATCAGAAGTAACACGGCACATGTAAGGGTAAAATTTGGTGCTCTATTGATTGGAATCAGTGCTTACCTATCCATTTGTTCATTTGGGGTGAGCTTCACCCCTGGACAGAAGGCCAGGACTATGCTATTCAAAACTAGGGTCTAGGTGAGATTCAAGAAGTTAATGAATCCTGTGCTGCTCCTTTTATTCAACAAAGGCAGGGTAGCTGTAATTATTTAAGTGTGGTGTGTCCTGGTGCATTCTAAAGTGTGTTCTCTGAAGAAATGAATCTTAAATCTTGGAGAAATGTGGAGAGGCGATAGGGATTTTGGATGTGAGCTCTGCATTGTGCAGATCATCAAAGGGAGAACTAGCAAGGTCCTACTACAACAGAATTCCAGCGTGTCACCCACCATATGGCCACTAAAACTATGGCTGTTTTGTTAACCTTTTGGATCTTAATACCAGGGATTAGCTGCAAAAACTGAGCTCTTTAATTATCAAGATAAGGTATGGGAGGGATATAAGCCAAACTCTAAAAGGAGGTCAGGGACGCAACTGCAAATGATTCTGTAATTGTCCATGCAGGGATATCTTAAACCTTCCTCTGAAGCAGCAGATTCTGCCCATTGTCAGAGATAGGATGCTGGGCAATGTGGACCGCTGGTCTGATCCAGTCTGGCAATTAGAGCATCAGCTCTTGGGGCAGGAACTGTCTTATTGTTCTGTTTGTACAGTGCCAGGCACAGCAGGATCCATGAGTGGGGTTCCTAGGAGCTGCGGGAATACAAATAAATAATAATTCCTATGTTCTCCTCAAACTGGTTCTATTTTCAGGTGTAAACCCCTTACATTTCATTGGGGTTTTTTGGTGAAATTAGAGCACTTCTGAAATTGAAGGGAGAAAAGCTCAGTCTCTGTAGTTCTTTAGACAGGGATGTTCAAAGGAACTGAAGGGAGTTTGGCCTCCAACTTCCACTGAAACTCAATGGGAGCTAGGTGCCGAGCTCCCTTGCTCTCCTCTTGAAAATCCCCACTTGGAAGCAGTGTTAAACATTTCATACTCTGGAGCAGAGAGGATGGGGCCAGGCCTCCGTTGCCTAACCAGAAACCTGCTCTGCCACTCTGTTGCAGAAAGCGGCAGGCTATCACCTGGACTTGTTCTGGGTGGGGGTCCTGATGGCCGTGTGTTCATTCATGGGGCTGCCTTGGTACGTAGCTGCCACGGTCATTTCCATAGCCCACATCGACAGCTTAAAGATGGAGACGGAGACCAGCGCGCCAGGGGAGCAGCCACAGTTCCTGGGAGTGAGGTGAGGACTCTCACAAGGCCGTGCCACTATCCGTTCACTTCCAAGTCTAGCATGCAGCCGCTTTGATTTGGAGAGCGGAGGCCAAGGGCACTGCATAGCCGCATGCGCGTCAGGTAGGTTGTAATCCCGGTATGTTTCTAACTACAGAAATGGGAGCCACATTTTCAGCACCTCCAATAGTTGATTTGCGATGTTCCACAGAAGAGCTGTATTCTGCACCATCTCATTGCAGGACAGTAAATTGTGGGTGCCTGCAAAGTGATTCCATTAAGAGCCTCTGGGCGCAATGGGCAGGGTGCAGCATGCAAACCCTTTTCCTCCTCACCTGCCCCAAACCTCTTTGCAATAGGGGCAGACCTAAGTAACAGTCCAGATTCTCCCCTGCCCTTTGTGTCTTTTGTAGCCACTGACTCCCATGCATAGTGACTGTAAAACACCCCCAGAGCAGAGCTCTCCACACCAGTGCTAGTGTGTGGCACCCATTTCTTGCTCACTTAGCATGGGGGTAAAGTACAAGGTGTAAGACATGTGGAGAATCGGGCCCAGGGGCTGGGCTGTGTTGGCAATGTGTGTGGAGGAAGATGATAGGAACTTGTAATGTTCAGCCAAATTTAAATGGAAATTCCCTAATTCCCATGCTCTCTCCATGCCATCCAGCTCCTGCTCTGGACCACATGGACCATGAGCAGGAAACCTCACACTAGCATTTCAGCCTATCCCTGGTGGGGTCCCCAAGCATCTGTTCTCTCCCTGTGGCTTAAGGTGTGGCAGCATTATCCACTGTGAGTAGATGTGTCACGATGGAGCACAGCAGAGGGAAAGACCCAGAATATACTGTGTGCCAGAATGCACAAGGGTTAAATTCAGTGTGAGCCAAAGACGCTGCCACAGATGTGGAGCCCTGCAGCTCTAGCAGCAAAATAAGGAGAGGCCCAGGATTGGCTGAAATTTGGCAGATTTACCAAAGAGCCTTCTTCAAAAGGAGGCTAAGTCTCATTGAAAGTCAGTGGGACATACGGGCTTTCCCTCTTTAGCTAAACTCCTGTCTGGTGATGTGATGACTTTGGGAGTGCCACGAAAGTGCTTTTAAGGCCCTCTAACATGTTGCAAACTGGGGCGTTTGCAGGACCAGTGGGGTCGAGGCAATCTCTGGATTTGTTTTGCCAAATAGTGAATCCTCTCAAATACTGTGGATTTAAAGTTCGACTCAGACCTCGAAGGTTTCTGGGTTTTATTTCTCACAAAGAAAAGGCTATGAGAGGGGGAGAGAAATTCAGTAAAGAAATGGGCTGACAAACAGACCAGAGTAGGAGGGAGTTAAGGATCACACCAGGGAGACTGCTACAGGAGCAGAGAGCAGAAGAGAGGAATGTTGTAATGAAAACCTAACTAGAGGCAGGCTGGCTGGCTGTCTATCCCCATACATGTCCATCTGTCTAGATTCCTCTCCATAGATATCTGGCACTATAACAGGGTCATCTTTCAAGGCCAGCGGGCCTGTGGCCAGCTTAGCCTGTTTCGATTATCAGACCCAGCTGGAAGGGGTCAGATGTTTTCTATGAAGGGCTGAGAGAGCTCAGTTGGGAGGAGGGAGAGCTAGGGGTGGAGGTTAGTGCTTGTGGCAGGCGCCGGAGTTAGGGGGAAGAGATGCATGGGGAAAGGCCTCTGGGTCCTGCGGCCTGCTTAGGTTGGGAGTTTTGTGTTTGAATGAATAAATCATGCTCCTAGAGACTGGGCATGGTGTTGGTCTTTCCTGGGCTAGGGAGACAGGCCAGCAGCCCCACACACACCCATTGGTTCTCAAAGTCCCAGCTATTCATTTCATCATAGGAACATAAGGCAAACACAAGAAATTGTCCTACCTGATGCCACATTTCACTCTGCCTGTCTTTGTTCTTTGCCAGGGAGCAGAGAGTCACCGGAATCATTGTCTTTGTCCTGACTGGGATATCCGTCTTCCTGGCTCCAATTCTGAAGGTAAAATTTCCTCTTTCTACTTCATACAACATTCTTCACTGCACAGTTTGCTGATGAAGGCCCAGGGGCCCAGTCAGCATTCAGATACCTATAAGACACCAAGCAGACTACAGGTCTGTGCTGAAATAATGGCCCAGTGAGGTATTGTTGGGATACAGTGGAAAGCGCTTATTTTGTCGTCTGGATAACTGTGTCAGAGAAGGGTCTCGGAATCCCACAGCATATTATCCGATGCACTGGCTCGTAGCCTGGCTCCCATCCCATTTTGGCTCGCTATGCTATGTGCCATGGTCACTCAGAACTTCATGTGGAGAGAAAGCAGATCCTTCTTCTCCTTGCCACTTGAGCTAAAGGAGAATCTTCTTTAGTGATATAGGGCCTATGACACACAGTTGTGCAGTTCTTTCTGTCTCATAGAAGGAACACTAACCAGTTGACCATAATAGTAGTAATCTCTTCTTGATATATGAGTACCAAATAAATTCAGGATGGCTTTGACTGTTCTAGGGTTTACAAATGAGTGTTAGCCATTATTTTCAAACTGTTACCATCAGATTTTCTAGGTCCCGTTCAAACAGCAAATAGTGATCCTAAATGTAGTAAAACATTGTGGCCTTTGGTGGTTCACTAATGCAATGGTGGATTAGCCACTGGGCCAACGGGGCCCATGCCCAGGGGCCCCAGGCCAATTGATGGGCTCCGGAAAAATAGGTGTCCCCGCACCCCGACCTGCTCCCCAGCAGGAGCTTAGGGAGAGGGACGACTGCAGGTGGAAGAGGTGGGGAGGAGCCCCCACTTGCTCTGGCCCAGGGCCCCACAAAATGGTAATCCGCATCTGCACTAATATGTCAGCATCTCTTGTCAGGCCTGACTCACTCACTACACCTAACGCACTGTTTTCATGATATTTACCCAAAAGGTGGCAGGTAATATATCCTTGAACAACTAATAACTCACTGATCGTTAACATTATTGCATGATGTGTGTATGGTAAATCCACAAAGGACTTTAAATATATGCCGAAAATATGTGACTAAAATGTGTTTAAACCAGGCATCTCGAGGGGGAGTCGATAAACAGGTTTTCTTCCAGCAAAGGAAAGAGGCCAACACCTTGCCCCAAATGTGGCCAAATTCAGTGGACTATTCATTTGTATCGAAGGTGCGGGAAGAGAATATTTGCATTGTAAAACTCACCCGCGGGGAGGAAGACAGCATGGAGGCTACACCAGTCAGCACAGAAAGGGGCCTTTGTCTAGGCTTGCTTGTCAAAGAATACTTTTCCAAGGTTTACTGGCCTGTGAAAAGAAAGGGGAGAGAACCCCATAATTATTCCTTACTGGGCAGATAAGAGGCCAGGCCTCTTGTTCATCTGAGAAAAGTGGATCCTTCAACCAAGGGGGTTAAAGTCTCTGGAAACTGAACATAGATGAGAAGCCTGCTTAGACAAAGACTGTAACTGGCTGAAATAAAATTTTCATTTTAGAAGTGTATGTTTACCTTTGTTTGCTGGCAATCCTTTCTGTCTTTATTGTCGGTATCCCTTAATCCTATGTCCTTTTGTTAAATATACTCGATCCACTTTTACTCTAAACCAATTCAGTGCTGTGACTGAAATTGTCAAATCCCATTCAATTAGGAAACTGCTGTTCATGTCTCTTTAAAGGAGCAGCGAACTTAATAACTTCTGTGAGTGACCCAGGAGGAGGCTGGACACTGCAGGGAAGTGTCTCTGGGGATCTTGAGACTTGGGGGTCACTGTTTATTATCTGAAGGCAAGGTTTGGCCTGGCAGAGTACTGAAGAGTTTGCTGGCACGGCAGACGAGCTGGTGTGTCAGGGACAGTCCCAGAGCCCAGGGTCCAGCCTGAACCCGAACGTCTGCATTGCAATTTTATAGCCCCTTTTAAAGCCCCATATCCCGAGTTCCGCTGATCTGAGCCAGCCGCCGCTTTGCCATGGGTCTTTTATCACAGTGTAGATGTACCCAGTAACTCTCAGTTCTGGGAACATCAGCAGAGCATCACGCTGGCAGATGGTTTGGGGGGAATTCAGGACTGGGAGGGTGTTGGGGTCATGCTGCAAAAAAGAACTGGGCAGGGGAAGCCAGGGGGTAACCTGCATGCTTGCCTGCTGGCGCTCTGTGTCAGGGCTGTGAGCCAGACCAGCATAGCATTTCACAGCACCCAGAGTAACCGGGCAGGTGGTGACACGGCCCCTTACAGGTCTGGCTTGACCTCCGCAAAACATCAGAGCTGTATCCTGTGTGCTCGGCTCAGATGTGGGCCACTTCAAGTCAAGCGCAGTAGAAAATTTTGAACATTTTTACAAAAGGGGAAAAAACCTCCAAATGTAGGGCTCAATTGAGACTTGAGTAAGGGACAGCGTGTGGCTGCATCTCCCCAGAAGCAACCCCGGGCATTCGTTATGCCTCTTCTCTATATGGTATCGGTAATACCCTGTCACTCTAGCATCTATCTGCTTGATTATGGACCAGGGTTGTTTTTCAGCCAGGATTTCCCCAGGTTGTCGTTCTGGACAAACACTGCTAGAAATGTCCTTTCTACAGTAGTTCACAGGAGACATCTAAGCACTGAGTGCTTGTTTTTCCTCTGCCCGCAGTATATTCCGATGCCGGTGCTGTATGGTGTCTTTCTCTACATGGGAGTTGCCTCTCTGAATGGCATTCAGGTAAGAATTTAATCTGTGCTACTGAGCTTGTTCCCTTCATGTGCTGCTACCATATTCCCAGTCCCCATCATTCTCCTCCTCATCTGTTTACGCCACTTCGATAAAATGGAATCATCTATTGCTCATGCTAATAAGTCGGCTGCAGAGGAAACTGAACGGACCCACAGGCAACCCCCTGTATAGGTAAGGGCGGAATTGGGTCCTTTCAACTGCTAGAGAGATCTGTGGTCAAGGGGAGGCTCAGAGCACTGAGAGTAAATGGGATACATTTCCTGAGACTTCTGTCTGTCTTAGGGTTTGGTACTGTGGCCCATCAGCATAGTATCTGAGCGTTTTCCACATAAAGAAGATTGGCCGTAAAAGAATTTCAGGGAGTCTCTGGATCTTTGCCCTTTCTCAGTTATAGAAAGCTCTGCTTGGGGGAGAGGGAGAAGGCAGTGGTTGATGCTATGAACGTCGTTCTGCTTATGGTGGAAAAGCTTTCTCAAATCCCTCTTCCCTTCCGGCGCATAATCCACCCCTGCCCATCGACTGCAGACATGCCTTGCATTGGGAAACTGACACACAACTTGGAGCCCGAGTGAAGGTACTACAAGGTGTAGGGAGATTGACTCATCCAGACACATGGTTTATTGCCTGACTGATTAAGGGCTGTTCCTGGAAAGGAGAGGCTGAAATTTAATCAGGCCATATTTGAAATTACTAAAACGTTGAGCTTTTAAAGAGCCTTTGGCTCAGCACCAAGAATTGGTCATTCTGGGAACATTCTGTGAGCGCTGCTGGATTTAGCTGGCAGTGGACCTCTGGATGCAGCAAAGCCCTCCATGGGACTCACGCCCGCTTGCTTCACTCCGAGCTCTGCAGGGTGGTGTCTGAACGCAAACATCCCAGCTCTTGTGGTGCTAGATACTACAGTGATGAAGGGTGGATGGATAGAAGTGAGGTTGGGTCAGTTGGACAGGAGCTGCCCTCTGGATATAGGATATACAGCAATTCCTTAAATGACAACCAGGATTTTTTGACAAGCAATTCATGTTAACCCTAAGGATAATTTCAGTTTAAACATAGTGGGACAGAGTTTATCCCTCGTCTAATGTCACTGACTGTAATGGTGTTACCGGAAAGGAATTTGGCCCACTAAGTCTTAATCACTTTGTTTTGTTGGTTTTGGTTGTTGGTTTTTGAAATGGAGGTTAAAGCTATATTTAAGCTAAAATTAGGCTCCAGGTTAATATGGTCTGAACTTCAGAAACTATTTTAAGGCGGATGCCGTAGCTTTAGCTCCCGGGAGCATAAATCCGAACTGAAGAGTTTGTTTGTGGAAACCACCAATGAGTATTAGCACTGCACAAACAAGGAAAGATCATTTTCCTGGCTAATGCTTTATATGATTAGAACATAGGATTTCCAGAGCAGATCCTGCTCCTGTCTCTAGCTGTGATCAATACCAGAGGCTTCAGAGGAAGGTAACTCCCCCCCGCCCCCAACACTTACCCAATAATTCACTTGGCCAGGCATACAGTGATACATTTGGCAGGGAGGTAGATGGGGGCTGGAATTCCTTCCTGACCTCTAGTGACAATCAGTATATGCCCTGAAGCATGAGGTCCAATTACCCAGTCTTAACATGTGCAACCACAAACTGGATTGCAATGACCCTCTCCAGGTGAGAACGTATAGTGTAAAAGATACAAAGAGTTGATCTACTTCAGAAGGCATTATTCGGGGGAAGTTTTCTGGTGGTGTAATGCAGGAGGTCAGACTAGCTGATCACAAAGGTCCCTTCTGGCCTTGAAATCTTTGTAGCAGCCCATTGGGCTAGAGCTGAAGTCCTCATTCAGGCAAATCTCCCATTGGACTTAGTGGAAAGTTGGCCTAATTTGGGGCCAAGTAAGGACCATTCTGAGCCAAAACCTTCAGCAGGTGTCCGTGCAGCACTTTCCTCTCCAGCCAGCATGGAGCACTTGACAGTTGCTCGTTTCAGAACCAAGCCCAGCTCAGCCTTTACTCAGGGATGGAGAATAACGTGCTGCTTTTCCCTGGCAGTTCTGGGACCGCTGCAAGCTCTTCCTGATGCCAGCCAAGCACCAGCCTGACTACGCCTTCCTTCGCCATGTGCCCCTGCGGCGGATCCACCTCTTCACCCTGGTGCAGATCATCTGCCTAGCCATCCTCTGGATCCTGAAGTCCACTGTGGCGGCTATTATCTTCCCTGTGATGGTAGGGCCTCTGCGCTCACTCGGAAGATCCTTGGGACAGACGGTGTGGGGAGGGGGTGAGCAGCTGGGGTCCCCATGCAGTCCCCTCTGCCCCATCCCCAAGAGGGATACAACCACTGATCTTCCTGGGCTTTGTCTTTATTTTTAAAGACCAGAGCCTTAAGGCAGCAGGTCTGTTTTTCTGAGTGTCAAAAGCCTTCTATCAGCTGATCTTCCTGGCTTCCCTCTAGTTCAGCCTTTCACCGTATCCTTGAGTTAGAACTAAAGAGACTAGCTCGTCTTCCTGGGACGCAGTCAGCACTCCATGAAGTGACCGGTATTAGTAGGGTGACCAGACAGCAAGTGTGAAAAATCGGGACGGGGTGGGGGGGTAATAGGAGCCTATATAAGAAAAAGACCCAAAAATCGGGACTGTCCCTATAAAATCGGGACATCTGGTCACCCTAGGTATTAGCAGGTGCCTTCTCCAAAGATGAAAGGAGGTGTCAGTCTGGGGTTTGACATCCCTGGAATCCCTTGGTTCGAGTCACTTCAGCCCTTCTGATGCAGATCCATTAAGTTCCCTAAAGTTTCCCGCATGGGGAGTGTTTTGTGTCACCAGCCACGGTTCTCTGTGGGGCCGCCAAGGTTCCATAGCACGTCCTGAGAGGATAGCAGCTGTTCTTGGTGCCCTCAGCCAGAAGCTCCATGCCCCCTTCTCTGTTCTGCACTGGTCGGCCCCGCAACTGCCCCTCCCCCACTGTGTTTTGTCACTGTAGCGCCATTCGGAGTCTGGCCTGTTTTCTTCAATGGAATCTAGTCCCGAATCTGGATCTGCTCTGTCCGTGCTGGCAGCGGTTGTTTAAATCTCTCTCCCTTCCACCCCCCTTCCACCCCCCTCTTAGATTTTAGCCTTAATCTTAGTGAGGAAAATGCTGGATTTCGTCTTTTCCCAACACGACCTGGCCTGGATTGATAACATCATCCCCGAGAGAGAGAAAAAGAAGGAAGACGACAAGAAGAAGAAGAAGAAAGGCAACAAAGGGGAAGAGGAGAGTGAGGATGAGGTGTGTCCATGCTCGTGAGGAACAGTAAGGGGCTTACAGTCCATTAGTGTTGTAGATGTTCAGGGATGTTAATGTCACTCACCGATGAGGCCCTTAGTTCTGTTCTGAAAAATAGCTCTGTCCAAACGGTATTGTGAGGGTTCAGCATTATCGTGCCTCAGTTTCCCCATCTGTAAAATGGAGAGAACAATACAGACCTCCTTTGTAAAGCGCTTTAAGATCTACTCATGAAAGGTGCTTGAGAAGAGGTAGGTGGTGTCATTATTGTCTCCTTGATTTCCAGATTCAGTGTGCTCAGTTTCCAAGTTAAGGTTTTTTTTTTCCCCAACCTGCCAACGCTTGCAACTGGGAACTTGCACATCTCCCAGGAATAAAGCCACATTTTCCCCTGACTGACACCCTGCGCAGTCCTTCAGTGAGGAGCCCCAAATGCAACTGATTGCAACTTAAACAATTCTGTAGATGATGCAGAAGAAGCAATACAATCCAGCTCCCTCTCTCAGGGCGGGGTTGGCTCTGAAGGGATAATGGGAATCAAAATCAGTAAATACCTGTTTATAGTACTAAATTGAGCAGGGCTGCCTCCAACACAAACAGGGAGCAGATCTGCTAAGGAGGTACCATCTCTTACACAGTCACTCTTTGAGTAGAACCACACTTTAAATACAGTTTGTGTTCCAAGTAGGGTTGCCAGGTGTCCGGTTTTTGACTGGAACGTCCAGTCGAAAAGGGACCCAGGTGGCTCCGGTCAGCACCCCTGACCAGGCTGTTAAAAGTCTGGTTGGCGGGGCTGGCAGGCTCCCTACCTGGCTCTGCGCGGCTCCCAGAAGCAGCGACATGTCCCTCTGGCTCCTAGGCGGAGGGACGGCCGGGGGGCTCCGTGTGCTGCCCCTGCCCCTGCCCCATGCACTGGCTCCGCAGCTCCCATTGGCTGGGAACCGCAGCCAATGGGAGCTGTGGGGGCGACACCTGCGGGTGGAGGCACTGCACAGAGCTGCCTGGCCGCACCTCTGCCTAGGAGCTGCAGCCAAGGGACATGCTGCCACTTCTGGGGAGCCTCCCAAGGTAAGCACCGCCTGGATCCTGCCCCTCGCACTCCCTCCCAAACCCCTGCCCCAGCCGTAAGCCCCCTCCCACACCCAAACTCCCTCCCACAGCCTGCACCCTGCACCTGCTCTGGCAGCCCTGAGACCCCCCCCACAAACTCCCTCCCGGAGCCCGCACCCCAACCCCTGCCCCAGCCTGGAGCCCCCTCCCGCACCTGAACCCCTCATTTCTGGCCCTACCGCAGAACCTGCACCCCCAGCCTAGAGTCCGTACCCCCCCCTCCCACACTCCTGCCTCAGCCCAGAGCCCCCTCCCATACTCCAAACCCCTCGGCTCCACACACCCCAGCCCAGAGCCCCCTTCCGCGCCCCGAACCCCTCATTTCTGGCCACACCCCAACCCCCACCCTCATCCCCTCCTGCACCCCAACCTCCTGACCCACCCTGGTGAAAACGAGTGAGGGAGGGTGGGGGAGAGCGAGTGATAGAGTGGGGAGGGTTGGAGTGAGCAAGGGTGGGGCCTCAGAGAAGGGGTTGGGTAGGGGGGCGGGGCAAGGGTGTTCGGTTTTGTGCGATTAGAAAGTTAGCAACCCTAGTTCCAAGTCTCTCCAAATGTTATTGCAGGGTTACAATAAATAACCTCCAGGCTAAGGAAATCCATTAGCCCCATGATAAGGATACATGCAGAACATCTGTTAGCGCTATTGACAGTCTTGCACGTGTCTCAAGGGATGTCTAGAGCTCTTGCTGCAGGCTGCATGCAGCTGTACGTAAGAGAGACGTTCTGTCACCTGAGTAATAAAAGCATGTGGCCGAACTACCAAAACGCCAGCGTTAGCCTTGAAAATCCTTAGCGGAGTTATCGATAGAGATTGGGAGCTAATGGAACCCCTCCTGTGGATTCTTCTTCTGACTGTATCTCTGAGACTGCTGCACTTCCAGTAAAGGATTTTTAAGGCAAAATGCAACAGTGACTAGCACCACTTAGTGTTATATAAATGGAAGAGAAGGGAAAACAAAAATCTGATGGCTGGACTGTCAGCAAAGGGCTAGGAACAGAAAGGACTATTGGGTACTGAATGCAATCAAACCCCTCCAACTACACTACCCCGTAAAAGGGAGAGTCACAAAGGGCAGTAGGCACCCAGCTTCCATTGGAATTGGGCACCCAGGGTCCCATTTGTGGCTGCCCATCAGCACGTTTGGGAAGGGTGAGGGAGAGCACCTAACGGGTGCCCCGATTCAGGAAAGCACTGAGGCATGTGCTTAAGTCCTTTTGACTTCAATGGGACTTGAGCGCTGTCTCGAATAGGGGCCTGGGCAAGCAGTTTTGAGATAAAGGATGATTTCAAATATGTTTTGAATGTTGTGTTCAGTTTTGGTCACCTCATCCTCAAAAGACCTAGCAACCAAAATGATTAGAAGCCTCAAGGGAAGGACTTCAGTCGGGTGGGAGACTCAAGAGGCTAGGATAATCCATTCAAAAACAACACACTTAAAATGAATAGAAAGACATACTTTGTTAATTCAACACATAATTAACCTGTGGAACTCACCTCTGCAGGGTAGTCTTGAAGCAATTTTCTCAGTAAGAATTAAAGGAGGAGGCATTTATATGACTAAAACTATCAGTGACAGTTATACGACAAGCTAAGGTAAAAGTTACAAGGGCCATTAGGGCTTATGCTTTTGGGCATAAACTGATCGCCAAACTCCTTGTGTTTTTTGTTAAGCATCTGGATGAAATTTTGAAGACACATCCTAGCTTTACTCCATGGTTTATTTCCCAATTGATTCTACCTGTGTAGTCTCCCCTTGCGGTTTGAATTGGATACAATGGTTCTCTTCACTGCCTGTCTTAAACTGATGCATAGCATTCATTGTTAAAGAGCTGCCACATTCCCCCTTCCTCCCCCCAGAGCTGGCTGCATTTTAGTGGAGGGTGACTTCTGTGTGTAGGAGAATCTCATTTATCCAAATATCTCTGACCCAGAAATCTTGCTTATTCTAATCTTAGTTATGTCCACTTATGTGAATTATTTACCAAGTAATGTAACTCTCTCATCCAATCCCCTTGTTTAGCCAGATGTTTCTGATGTCCCCAAAACACTTCAGATAAATGGCTTTACCATAGTTAATGGGATCCTTTAGCATGAATGGTGTTAGAAATGTAAGCTATTGTTATGGGCAGGCAACATATTACCCTGATTAATGTTAATTGGTGTTACTGATGCTGATCTTTCCACCATGCAAATAGATACATAGATGCCTAGGATGGGATTTTCAATGGGAACTGGGTACTCCTTTGAAAATCCTGGCCTTCTGCCATATGCATGAGAATGATCCATTTAATGCGGAAGGGCATGAGTATGTTTTCAGGCATGCTAACCCCGGACATGTCTGTATGAATCATTGTATTCACTGGCTCTTCCCACTCTTTTCCTAGCCTCGGTTCCCAACACCCTCAGTTATAAAGATCCCAATGGAACCCGTCCAATCAGACCCCCAAAATGGTATCCATTGCATTACCAGTAAGTACAGTGCTTAGGTTCTAACGTTATTACCATTTACTAACCCTCAACATCTTGGTCTATTTTGTGACTAATCAAAGTAACCCGCTGCAGGTGCTTGGCTTGTTTTGAAGCTGTAGATATGTGTAGATAAGAGATCCGCAAACAGGCTGAGGAAAAGAACACACACGGATCCTTTAGCTGCTTTTTAAATCCAAACTTGATTTTAAAATTGTTTTGCTGCCTGAAAACTCTGCATTCTTGGCCTAGGAATGCCAGAAACCTCTCACAAGAACCTGTTCCTCTGGGGTTACTACCCCACAGGTGGATCAAGAACCAGGAACTCCGTAGAACTAATCCTGGCTCTGATACTGACATATTGCATGCCCTTGGGCAAGTCACTTGACCATAGTGATGGGTGCGTTTATCAGAAACTGGATAGAGAATGAACCTTCTTGTGCCTATTTCCCCATATGGAAATATGCAGAGGATAACCTATTAGCTACCCCACAGCAGGGGTGGAGGATGAGAATTTTGTTAGTTAATGGGTGTAAAGTGTTGCACAAAGTTCATTGGCGAAGTGGAAAGTGCAGCTTGCTGTTGTTAAAGATTAAAAAATGCCAGATGGTTTGGGATTCAGGAGACCTGGGTTCTAGCCTTCGCTTCAATACCGTCTCCCTGTGGGACGACAGGCAAGTGACCAACAGCCAAAGGGGCCTCTGATTTTGCCTGCCCAACTTCGGGCACCTCGGACATGGTTTTCAGGAGTGTTGGGCCCGTGCCGAGCTCTGTTGGAACTGCGGGTGCTCAGCACCTGAAATGACAGGTCTTTTGGGGGAAACGTTCATTCTGTCTTCTCTGGGCCTGGGCCCTCTGCCATTGCAGCCTGGTATAGGAAGCAGTGACAGCCCAGGAAAATCATTAACCAAAGCTGCATTTGTGCAAAATAGACGTTGGATTCCCGTGCATTTGTCGGATTAAAGGTGACTCCCTTGCATTCTTGAAAGATAGTTGTGTTAATAGCCCTCCCCCTCTGCCGTCTCTCCTGTCCCAGGCTACTGCACGTCAGAGGGACGCCCGAGTCCTTCAGTAAAACGTTATCTTGTCACTTTGGTAAAGGGCTGGCTTATTTGGAATGTGCCTTTTTCTGGGGGGGAGACTGATGGGGAGCCAACGCTTGCTTCTGAACGTTCCCAAGTTCCGCTCCATTCCAAGCGCCTGAAAGGTCCAACCTCTGCAATGCTGGTAGCTGCGCCTGTCTCTCTTGTATGTGAGTGGGCTGGAGGCGCAGTGTTTGCATCCAGTTCCTAGCAGTGCTCGTAATGGAATTGGCAACTCAGCTGCCCCGTGAGGGGAAGGGCTGGGCCAAAATTCAATGAGCCAGATTCCGAGGTGGAGTCTGAGGACTTAAAGCTGGTATACTTTACTGTGTGGTCTCCTCAGTGTGTGATCTACACCATCTTCCACTCACCCTCTTGGAATCCCTCAGGTTCAGTGAGCAAAATCCAGATGTGGTGATGTCTGGGGAGTGTTAAGTTACCCATCAACATGTCTGACTGCCTGAGTCTCAGTTGGTGCAGGCTGCACACTGAGGGGCGCAGTGAAAGGCGTAAGATTCAGTTACTGTCCTGACTTTGGCCCCTCATGTCCATCTGATCCATCTTATCCCATGAGAGTCCCCTGCCGTCAGTCATATGGAGGCTGAACTTCTTAGAACCGATAAATTATTCCACACTGTGGTATCCTGACACATGGGGTGACCCAGCTTTTGCTGGGATATTAGGGAAAGGCCTTTACTTCTCCTGGAAGAGACATAAATGGTCAGCGTTCACGTCTGGTTCTCTGTAGCTGTCATTGTTTATGGTTTCTTCTCTCTTTCCTCATGGTCGCTCTATGGGACAATCTCTTATGGGGTTTCAGAAGGACTAAAGTACTTAAGGTCACAACTCCCAATGGGATTTGGGCACCTCTTTGCCTTAGGCTGCTTTGAAAACCCCTGACCATAACATTTAATCCTCTGTTGGGAGGTGAATTGGGCTTGCCATTGTCAACAACTAATGCGGACTCCAGGCTTTATCCAAATGGCACCCCATTTATGGCTTCCGGTTCCTATTTAGATGGAGATTCAGGATATTTATTGTCTCTCTAAATAGTCCTGTTTCCAATGAGCCCGGAGTCTCCCAAGTGTGTTCTCCAAGAATGAAACTCCTTTCGGGATCAATCCTCTGACCCATTGTCCTTCAAGTGTCACTGAGGCAATTGGCCTCCATTTTTGTTGCAAGCCTTGTAGAGACAAATTCTACTGATCAGTGGATTGGCAATAGGATGCACAGAGCCTTTTGGCTTGAGGAGACAGGTTTGAAGCCAGCCTAGCTAGACTGTGATGCAGAGTTGATACCATCTGAGGGGTGTTTTGCTGCCTATAAAAGAGAAGCTAAGAGTCGAGTTCTGTTCCCAGTGGATAGAGGCCAGCATCATCATTGGCACTAGCTTAGTGGCAATCTCAGCAGGAAGGCCAGCGATTGAATTGTGACGTGCACTGAACTTCCCTTCCCTTTTGTCTGATAAACATGCCTTTCCTTCATGGTTCTCCATCAAGAGGATCCCAGCAACCCTGAACTTGGGAGCAGTTTGCATCTGGATTGAAAGGTTGAACCTCAGGCCTACAGAGTGTCGACTTTGTGGCTAGCTGGTGGATTTGTTTTTCCTGTTTGTGAGGAAACCAATGCCAATTCTTTGAGCAGAATCCTGTTCCCATTGCAGTTAGGGAGTGTTTCGCCACTGATTTCAATGGGATCAAGATTTGTCCCCAAAGAATAAGCACTTACGTGATTTAGGAGCCTAGCTTCCATCGACTTTCAATGCAGTTTAGGCTCCTAACTCCAAAAGCACTTTTGAAAATGGCACTTGGGCTCCTAAGTCACTTAGATGCTTTTAAAAATTGTACCCTTTGACCCTACATTTACTAACTCTCAGAGATTAGCTCCTTTTTGCTTTCCCTCTAGTTTTTTGTTATTTGCCCAAAGTTAAACTCCCTAAACCCACGTTTTGCCACCTAAATAAAAGTGGCTGGACTTTGAGTTTCTGAGCCTCCATAACTCCCACTGAAATCCGTGGGTGCTAGAGGCATTCAGCAACATTTTACTTGGGTTCCTAAATCCCTAACTTGAGGCTCCCATGCTTAAAAAAGTGGGTTTAGAAATTTAAAAGGAAAACCTAGTCAGGTGAATCAGGACTCAAAGACCGCACGGGAGGTAAAAGCAGCAGGTTCCTGTAGCCAGGTCTCCCCTTTTGCATCAACTAGGGGATGATTTCCAAAGACACACAAGCACCTCGACATTCAGCGGAGAGTTGGATGCTTAACTCTCATTAGTGTCTTTGATGCTCCCTCCCCTTTGTTGCCGTATTCATTTAAATATGCAGCATTTCCAATGGGTTTTTTTTCTCCGCCCAATTAGTGGGTGGAGAGAGATGACCATGCAAGTTCACTGAACTTCATGGTTGAGGTCTCAGAGCTGCTGGAGGTTCCACAGTGCAGCACCAGCCTTTTCCCTCTAACTGGGATGGTCTTGGGGGATTTTTGGTTTTTGTTTTGTTCCTTCCTCACCCTGAAACGGTTTCATATGCATCTGTGTTTCCCTTCAGGAAAGAGGTCCTCCAGCTGGAGCTTTGCGTTCTGATTCCTCTCCTAACGGTTCAGACTTGGATCGCAGGTAAATGACATTTAACAGGCTCATCATCCCTCCCCAGTTCTAAGCCCTGCCCCCAAACCTGTTGGAGTCCGGCACCTCCACGGGTGTGAACGCCAGGCAGGAATCGGAATTGGTTCAGGCAACAAGAGAGGGTCTAGTTAGGAGCAACGGGGTGAAGTGAAGGGAGGGAAAATTCAGGCTGATCGGGGGAAGAAAAATTCTAACCCTGGGCTCTGGGTGGAATTCACCCTTGTGCAGAGAGGGCTGTCTCCGTTGCAATCCCAGGGTATGACTGCAGCTTGAGCAGACATATCTGAGCCAGCTTGAATCTAGCTAGTTCGGATACCAGGGCAGTGAAACAGCAGCAGCACAGGCTGTACAAGCCCATCTGGAACCCTGGATAACTCCTCGAGCAGCCAGCAGCTCCACTGCTCCAGTACCCAAGCAAGCTAGATTAAAGCTAACTTGGGTATGTCTACACAAGCTGTAATAACTCCCCATCATTGCTGAGAGAACATACTTGAAAGGGTATAAATCTCCTCTCAAGGGCAGTGGTGTCACCCCATTGCTTGGGAGATTTAAAACAAAGCTAGATAAAAATCACTGTCTAACTTGCTGTAGGAAGCACTACGTCGGCCAGTGGATCAGGCTAGAAAATAGACTGTCTTTAAAGATCTGTGATTCTCTCCGGTCTCTTCTACTGTGGCCCCGTACCATGGCTGATGGTGCTTGCATGAGCCAACACGCTGCTACAGTCTATTGGAGAAATGAGGTCTGCGTTCAGTTAGGGGGTTGGATGTGTGTGTGTGTGTGTGTGTGTGTGTGTGTGTGTGTGTGAATAACAAAGTAGGAAATAAAAGACCCTAGGTCCCCTGAATCATACAATCACTTGTAACCAGACCAAGTGTATGATGCAAACTGACAAAAGCCACAGTGGAGGTTGACTCAGTCGCTGGTTCAAATCCAGCATAGGTTGTTGCTGTCTGCTGGCCCCGCGGTGCCTGTGTTGGCAGAGCTGGGAGATCTCAGTCTCATTTCAAAACTGTCAAGAGAATTGACATGAACTGATCCCTTCACTGGTAGAGAAACCAAGGACTGAGCTTCCTCCCTCTCTTGCCTAGTGAGCCCTTCCAAGGAAGGGCGAGAAAAGCTGGTCAGTGTTACCCCTGTTCTGCAGATAAAAAGAGGACTTTAGCCTCCAGGGCTGTGACCTGCACACCAGTCCCTGCTGTTTCTTTTTTTGTCCCCTATGAGCTGTTGATTTCTAGGTTCTGGGCCCCGTTCCTCAGTGAAGGGGGCAGGGCCTTCCTTTGCCTTGATTGACTCTGTCCACCAGTCCCAGTTATCAAATAGGCTGATGTGTACCCAGCAGCATGAAATTCATGATGCCCACAAAGAAAACGGAGATGGATGTTCCTGTGTGTACTGTGTGTGTAGTACCAGCTGTCAGGATCTTCTTTCTGTGTACAGGGCCTTGCAGTCTTTTCCCATTAGTGTGACTATATTTGGATGTCGTGATTTATGGAAATAGGTAAGCAGAGGTTAAACTTCCAAACGGGAGCCAGGGTGAGTTAAAGATAAGACATCAGTCTTGCATTCAGAGTTTTCTGGCTTGTAGCTTTTGTGCTGCACCATTCCAGATGTATGTCATTAGCTCGGTTCTGAAACACGAGTCAAATTCAGCCCTGGTGTAACTCCAGTGAGTCTGTTCTGAAACATGACATCGTAAAGATCAGATAGAACTTTTATTCAAAGGGACACTGTCACGTTAAGTTGGTCTCATTGTTTTGGACTTTGTGAAAACTGAGCTTTTATTAAACAAAAAGGCTGGTACAAATGTTCCCATTTTTTTTTAAATTTAATTCTAATGGAAGCTACGCTTTTTAAAGCAAATCAGGATCCCCCTTGTATCACTAAAGATTGCAGCATTGGATCTGATGCATGAGATCCTGAAGGTGAAATTGATCAGAACCTGATTGTTAGCAAAAATGAAATTGAGCGGTGTGTCTTCATTATCCCAAATGAGAGACACGAACAAGTGAAGGGTGCAAATTAGATTATTTTTTTTCTTTCTGATTTCATAATCAAGGTCTCATTTGTAACATAAGTATGGAAACTTGTTGGGTTTTTTTTTCTAATTAAACACTGGTTTCTTTTACGCTCGTTAGAGAGAGTGAAGTGGTGCTCTTCTCCCAAAGCTAAAGAGAACTTGGCTTGAATCAGGGTGAACAGAGACATGAGCGGCCTTTGCTGTTTTGCAAGCCAGGGTGGAAAACATTTTCAGCCCCCTCCTGACTTCCACCAATTTCCTCAGTGGCCGAACAAAAATTAAAACCAGCCAGTTAGTGAGCAGCATAGTGGTTTGGCAACCACGCCCACCCTCTAGAACTGGGTCTGAATTGGGATATGTCTGTGCCATACCTACATTGCACTGCTGTCCAGATGTTATTGTTTATAACAAAAAGTGGACACTAGGGGGCAGCAGTTAGGCTTTACTAAGAACATAATCCTGGAAAATTTATCCCAGCTTCACGTTTTACATCGGCGCAGCACATTTTCACTAGGGGTTTGCAGATACACCTGTGCAAAACCAAGGGAAAAAAAACCAACGTAAACAGTTGCACCGACTGGTGCAGACGAGAAGAAAATTGGACCTTATCTTCAAAAGTTATTGCATTGCCAGACAGATTCCAAACAGCCTGGTCATTTAGTCACAGCTATTAAAGGTCATAAAGTTTAATGCCAGAAAGGATCACCAGATCATCTAGTCTGTCCTCCTGCATATCACAGGTCACCAATCCTGCACCCAGCACCCACACACCATTCATTATGCTATTCATAAACGCTGACACTATCAAAACATGGGGGGAACAACCTTAATCTGTAGCACCTCCTGCTGTGTCAGTCCACTCCTGGGGTCCCCCCCCTCCCCCCCCACCAGCTCTGCCAGTGCACCACAGTCCTAACTCATGGAATCCCCTGCTGTTCCAGCCCAGGGCTCCCCCACTATTCCAGTCCTCTAAGGTTTTGTTATTGCTATGGCCTATTAGATCATAGCAGACCACGCTGCCATAGCAGATCTCATCCGTCAGAGAAAGGAGTGGGCGGAAGGGAAAGCCCAACCAGAATGCACCTGAGAGGTTGCGCAATGCTGCACGTAATGGAAAAAATGTCCTTCCTGCTCCTTGCGCTGCTGATCACTGACCTCTGCTGTAGCGAATTCCCCAGGCTGTCTGTGTATCTGGCAAGTGCAGGTAATACGGTGTTTCTGCATCCCCTTTGTCATGCAATATGTCTCCACTTTCCAAAGTGGCACATGGAGACCCAAGCCCCCATTGGCACACTCTCCTCTCCCTGCAGCTAACGCTCCACTGGCCACTCTGCAAATGTGTGGATCCACTCTTCCCCAGGACTGTTTTGCCCAGGTGCAGGTGTTGACTGGCTGGGTCACAGGCCGAGATGCTACTCTGCAAGTATTAGATGCAGTGGCCGTGCATGAGTGTAAGCTGAACCGTGTGATTCTTAGTCTGACATTTCTATCAAACCAAAGCTAGTACACATCTCTGTAGTGCATTGGTTAGCCGGCATCCTGACATATAGTGAGGGGGGGATATCGAGAGTTTCTGGGCCTGGTGGTTCAGGAGGGATCGTACCATGAAATGTTTACTAATGCCTTGGCTTTTTGGGGGGTCGTGTTTTATTGGGATGGGCAAAGGTCAAAAGGCCTAGAGGTCAGGTCAGATACTGGGCCGAATTATCCAGAACTCAGCAAAATTTGGGCAGGAACTCTTGCTGGACAGAACATTCACTTGTGAAAATTCTAGTATCTCCACTTCCCTGTTGGGCCAGAAATATCCCAGGAAGACGTTTTCCCATCTGGTAGTTTAACACAGTTGGGCCCAGAATGAACCCTGTCAAAGCAACAGCAAGTAGCTCCGATGCTATGGTGTAAATATCTAGGGCACTAATGCTATGAATGCCTGTAGATAGTTGTATAAATACCTGGAGGGATGATTGGCTATGTAAGACAGAGCAGAATGCTAGTTGGCTGGGTGAAAATGCCTAGAAAGGAACAAGACAAGTTTTAAGGTTGTTTTATTAAGTACCAATTTTTTTTCCATCTTCAGATTAGGTGTGATCTGAGTATAAGGTGAAAGTTTGTTCATATTTTCCTTCTACTCTATAGTGTGGTACAGTAGACCTGTCTAGGAGAAATGGAATGGGGTTACAAAAGGGAAAGTTTAGACTGAATACCAAGAAAGAGCTTCCCAGCAGTGAGATGCAGAATCTTCTCCGGAGGGTAAAGGGATGAGAGCCCCTTCACTTGGGCCATTTGTAACTAGACTGGGCAGCGCACTAGGAAATGGGCTGTAGACAATAATTGTGCATTGGCGAAGGGGATGGACCAGATTGTCATTGGGTTTGATCCTTCCTTTGATGGCAGTTTGGAGTTTGTAAGATTTGGCTCTAAATTCTTAGGAATCCTGTCTCCAATCCCTCCTTTCCAAGAACTTTAATGCTTAGTGCTACATGCGGCAACCATCCAGCTGGATTTTGGGAACTCATTTTGGGAAGACTATCCGCTTACTTGACTGAATAACTTGTGTCCCACTTTGAATTCATTGGATTGTTGAACCTCCGGTTCTCTTGTGTCTCCTCCTTTCTTCTGTTCCTGTCTTACTCCTGCTTCACGTGAAGATTTTGACCCTGATACTGAAGCCCTTTCACTTCAGAGCACCTGCATCTGCATAATAGCAGTACTGCCAGCCCCCGGCTTTTGAAATCATAAATTGGCTTAAAAAGCATGAAATTAAAATATTTTGGGTTTGTTTTTCTTTCTGCTTTTAAGAGTCTTTAGGGTTCATATTTTCTTGCCTTTCTCCTCAGCCATGAGTGCTAGAAACTTCCTCTCTATTTTTAATGAAAGCTGAGCGTCTCACCTAATCACATGATTCCACGAGCTGGGGCTTTAAGGAAGACATCAGGTATCCAAGACCTGTAATAAAATCATGAGAGTCGGCAACACTGAAATAGAAAGAAATGGGCCTGAGCTGCAACATTCAGGTCCAGATCCGCCAAAGTTCAGAGCCAGGGTTTTGGTTGGGCCTACAATAAATATGGCGAGCTATTCACAGAGTTTGGATCCGCTCTTCCCCAGGACTGTTTTGCCCTGGTGCAGGTGTTGACTGGCTGGGTCACAGGCCGAGATGCTACTCTGCAAGTATTAGATGCAGTGGCCGTGCATGAGTGTAAGCTGAACCGTGTGATTCTTAGTCTGACGTTTCTAGCACGCCAAAGCTAGTACACACCTCTGTAGTGCATTGGTTAGCCGGCATCCCGACATATAGTGAGGGGGGGATAGCGAGAGTTTCTGGGCCTGGTGGTTCATGAGGGATCGTACCATGAAATGTTTACTAATGCCTTGGCTTTTTTTGGGGGTGGAGGGTGTAATCCATTTACCAGTCAGGCCAGGATGCTTTCAGCACTGCAGTCTCTCCTGGCATCCGGGGTTTTGGTTTGGGGTCAGTTCCAGTATTCTGGTTCATGTGCACATGCCTGGTTGACATTTGCACCCAATGAGACGCGTTTGTATTGTCTCCACTTCACGTGTGTCCTGTCTAAATGCTGAGGTTTTGTTCACTGTGATGGAATTTCTCCAGCCAATGGGATTTGCATCGTTGATTGTCTAGTGCATACGAAAGCTTAAGGCTTTGTTGTTCTAGGATGGGAGTTTCAAAGGTAGCTACGTAACTTAGGAGCACAAGTCCCATTGACCGTAGCGCCTCTACGCCTTAGTTTAGCCCTCTGTATATTGGAGATACTTGCCTTTCTTTGAGGTGTGTGGTGAAAATGTTGGCTTAATTTTTAGAAGTGCCCAATCATTATGGAAGCCTTCATTTTTGGGTCCCAGTTGAAACATGCAGGACTTCATTGGCAGAGGACTTCATTGGCATTGTCAATTTCACGGTCATAGGATTTTAAAAATCATAAATTTCATGATTTCAGATATTTATATCTGAAATTTCAGGGTAGTGTAATTGTCAGGGTCCTGACCCAAAAAGGAGTTGTGGAGGGTGGGGGTCGCAAGGTTAGCCTTGCTTCTGCTGTCAGAGCTGGGTGGCCAGAGAATGGCAGCTGCTGGCTGGGAGCCCAGCTCTGAAGGCAGAGCTACCGCCAGCCACAGCACAGAAGTAAGGATGGCCTAGTATGCAGGGCCGGCTTTAGGAAGTGCGGGGCCCGATTCGAACAGTTTAGAAGGGGCCCTGACAGGGATGGCTAAAAAAAAAAAAAAAAAAACCACGTTAAAAAAA